TCTGGAAGCCTAAAACACTTATAATTGTTTTGGCATTATACATCTAAATTATGAATTTAGACAAATGTAATTCTGAAATAAAAGAAATACTGACATGGAATAATACCACTCAGAGAGTATATAAAGTTTACTTCTTCTGGATGTAAAGGTTAAGCATGGTGTATTATCCCAAGTATTGAGACATCTTATATCAGTATTTCTGTTCAGATCTAACCATGATGGGTGGTTAGTCATAGAATTAAAACCACTTATAAAACAGAAAAACTCATGTCTCAGGTGTCTTTACAACAACTCTCTGATCGTGGGTTTCACTGCCAGTCAATGAATTGGAACTGTAACGAACTCAGTGGTAACAGCTAAACTATAAATAGCGAACAGGTTGCAAGTAAAAATTTCACCCCATCCCCTCAGCAGGTGTAAACAAGAACTTCAAAAAAAAAAAAAATGAGAAAATGGAACAACTTTGTTAAGTGATAATTCCCATAACATATTATTGCATGCAAAATCATTCCAGTAATAAACCAAGGATTTAGAGTAAAAGCACATTTTCTGAAAACACCATACATAAACAATTAAAAATAATTGTATTGTAATGTACGTGTAATCTAGATTGCTACCATTAAAGTAAATGTAATGTGTTTCGATCACAGTAGGTTTTAAGTAGGAGACCAGGCAGTTCCTTTACTCCAATGAGCATCTAACTCTCACACATGGTACCATAATATATACAAGTAGTACATATCTATATGAATATTAGATCAAACATTTTATTGTATGCTAATTTATATATATATATATATATATATATATATATATTTGTAAGATGTTCTTGGAACTATAAAATAAATATGCTAGAATTTGTAAACTTACAAAACAACAAAAAAAATACCAACAAACTCAAACTTTTAAGAGCAAAAATGTAAATTCAGAAAAATTAATACGACCAGGTGTTCCGAAAGGGTAAGCCTCTTCTGCTTTATTGAAAACACCTGACACGTAACTCTTGGTCAATAAAAAAACCTTAAGTCACATTCCCAAATTAGAATATGATTAACAAAGATGTTAGTATCTGCCACAACCTATATCATTGTAAATTTACAACAGTTAGCTTTATAAATACTATATTAATTATCATAATTATTATGAATACAAGATATGTCAAAATAGTATTACATAGTGTGTTTCACAGTACTTAAGAGTACAGATATAAGAGGTTTATCACATGATACAGTAAACAAGTTCAGCTTTACATTTATTGGATCTGACATCAGGTATGATAGCCTGTCTAGGTAACGATTCTAGTTACAGCACTCAATAATAGGTACACAGGTGTACACACAGTGCCAGGTACAAAGATATGTGCGCGAGATCAAATAGGAATTCACAGAGCATCCACAGAGGATCCATACAAACAGCATTTAATGATTTATTGTTCCGGTAAGTACTTTATTATGAAGTGATTCATCCCAAGGAGAATCATTTTTAAGTTTTTATGAGCCAATGTTTCTCATGTTTCTGCTTCGGCCATAGGGAATTTCAATAGAAAACCTTATCAGAGTCGCGTAAAAAACGTTTTTGTGCAGACTGTGAATCCCACGCATGATTCTCTCACATTTACATATAAGACGGACAAGATATGCTAAGAGATAGCTGTACATCCTGCTGTGTTACCATCTTCCTGGTGCATACATCAAGTAATACCTGCAGTATCACTTTCCTATAAAATAAATTTACTATAATTACCAATTAATCATATGCATGAGTTTCCATTTTAGATGAGATTTAGGAAAAAAAGAAGAACAAATTTATTTTTTTCATTTTATCTGGACTTTCGTAATAAAAAGTTTTATGATGAAATTTAACGCTGAAATTAATTATTTTACCTGTGACAGATAATGACAACAGTAACACTTTTGTTTTTATTTCGGACTTTTACCTGTGACAGACTTTTACCCGTGACAGATAATGACAACAATAACACCTATCGTTTTTATTTCAGAATTTTACCTGTGGCAGATATTGACAATAGTAACATCTATTGTTATTACCTGTGACAGATATTGGCAATAGTAACATCTATTGTTATTACCTGTGACAGATATTGGCAATAGTAACATCTATTGTTATTACCTGTGACAGATATTGACAACAATAACACCTATCGTTTTTATTTCAGAATTTTACCTGTGGCAGATATTGACAATAGTAACATCTATTGTTATTACCTGTGATAGATGTTGACAATAGTAACATCTATTGTTATTACCTGTGACAGATATTGGCAATAGTAACATCTATTGTTATTACCTGTGACAGATATTGGCAATAGTAACATCTATTGTTATTACCTGTGATAGATATTGACAATAATAACATCTATTGTTATTACCTGTGACATATATTGACAATAGTAACATCTATTGTTATTACCTGTGATAGATGTTGACAATAATAACATCTATTGTTATTACCTGTGACATATATTGACAATAGTAACATCTATTGTTATTACCTGTGATAGATGTTGACAATAGTAACATCTATTGTTATTACCTGTGACAGATAATGACAACAATAACACCTATCGTTTTTATTTCAGAATTTTAACTGTGGCTGTGGCCTGTGATAGATATTGACAATAATAACATCTATTGTTATTACCTGTGACATATATTGACAATAGTAACATCTATTGTTATTACCTGTGATAGATGTTGACAATAGTAACATCTATTGTTATTACCTGTGACATATATTGACAATAGTAACATCTATTGTTATTACCTGTGACAGAAATTGACAATAGTAACATCTATTGTTATTACCTGTGATAGATATTGACAATAATAACATCTATTGTTATTACCTGTGACATATATTGACAATAGTAACATCTATTGTTATTACCTGTGATAGATGTTGACAATAGTAACATCTATTGTTATTACCTGTGACAGATATTGACAACAATAACACCTATCGTTTTTATTTCAGAATTTTACCTGTGGCAGATATTGACAATAGTAACATCTATTGTTATTACCTGTGATAGATGTTGACAATAGTAACATCTATTGTTATTACCTGTGACAGATATTGACAATAGTAACATCTATTGTTATTACCTGTGACAGATATTGACAATAGTAACATCTATTGTTATTACCTGTGACAGATATTGACAACAATAACACCTATCGTTTTTATTTCAGAATTTTACCTGTGGCAGATATTGACAATAGTAACATCTATTGTTATTACCTGTGACAGATATTGGCAATAGTAACATCTATTGTTATTACCTGTGATTGACAATAGAACATCTATTGTTATTACCTGTGACAATAGTAACATCTATTGTTATTACCTGTGGCAGATATTGACAATAGTAACATCTATTGTTATTACCTGTGACAGAAATTGACAATAGTAACATCTATTGTTATTACATGTGACAGAAATTGACAATAGTAACATCTAATGTTATTACCTGTGACAGAAATTGACAATAGTAACATCTATTGTTATTACCTGTGACAGATATTGACAATAGTAACATCTATTGTTATTACCTGTGACAGATATTGACAATAGTAACATATATTGTTTTTATTTCAGACTATCACAATAACTTTAATTGTTTTCATACCCTCTCAAATATGTCTTGCCTGTTCAGTACGGAAGAAGTTGTTGATTTTAAAACATTTTACTCCTGAAACATTGAAAATGACAGAATTGACAGCTGGGAATGTGAAAGTGAGTCAAGGTAATTCTCTGCAATATATGTGATACTCTTAACCCAGTAGGTTATCAGCCAAACATCATCACCCTTGGATTTTGCTGGAGGATTTGACAAAAAATGACCACTGTGACTTTGAAAATGTTATATTCAACTTTGGGTTGACTACTTAATGTGAAAAATATCTCAATATTTTTTTCCACTTGTGAATCATAGCTGCTATTATTTATCGAGAAACTTAATGAAAAGTCTACAAAAAAGTTTCACTGCTTTCACAAAGAATGAAAGATGAAATTAGCATACAGTTGGAAAAATAATATTCTAACAGATGCATTGTGCAGAACATTTCTTGTTTGAACAGAAATCATGATATAAATTCTTTATTTAGGCTGTTTCAGATTCCTATCAGCTGGTTTCAAAGAAAAAAAGTTGGTTTGTATATATCAAGTGCCTGGAAAAATGTAATTATCATTCCCATAGCTATACTGAGCCTGCAGGCTGCACATGCACTCCAACACAATCACAGGAGCATGTTTTATTCCTGTACAATTGGATATTCTGGCAAAAAAGTCCTTTGGGTTGATCATTAAACACATGTGGTAAGAAAATCAAACTCACAATTCATTTATGTAGTACCAAGTGTCAGTTGTCAAAAAAAAAAACCTGGAAATGACTCGTCTGAAACCAACTCGGTGCTACAACAAATTGCTAGTCACGTTCAACAAATATTTCGGTTAATTTTGCGTTTGATTCTCTGCCTCTGTAAGTATCATGTGATCTAACGTACCTAACATCCCCGTAAAACATGCCTAAGTACAGGGATATTGTCTTAACTAAAAAGTATGGAATTTTTATTCTGGTAATTACCCACAAAATGATTAAAGGTGGAGATAGAGGGACATGTCAAGACAATTTAGCACCAAGTCTTCTACAATTTGATTATGGCCAACTACACACCATTGTATAATTTGTCCCTGAATAAGAAAAACCCTTTTGTCATAATATGAACTACATGCATAAAACATCAAAAGAAATTTATCTTTCAGAAAAGCAGATCTGGAGAATTTATCTATCATTTGACAAATTGTCACAAAACTTGTCAAAGTTGGGTGTATAGGTCATCTTTCTAACTTCAGCTAGTGGAAATATCACTTATGTTGAGCGGTATAATGTCTGGCTGGAGATCGAAGGGTTGATAATTTGAAACTCAGCAGTGTTTTTCATGATTCCTTTCTTACAGAAAAGGTGCCTTTGACCACTCAAACAATAGGAGATTCAGATGCTTTCATGGAAATAATGAATCTGTGTTGTTGGTTGTCTTCAGGGTCAAAGACTTTGTGAAGTAAATGGTAGTGTATAAGTACTAGTGGTCTTTCTAGCTTTGACTTGTGTGAATTTCCCTTTTGTGCGTTAGAGTGTCCGGGTTGAGATCAAAGGGTCACTAGTTCAAATCCCGGTGAGAGCAGGGTGTTTTTCATAACTCCTTTCTATTAGATATGTACAAAGAGGAGGTTTATGGCCCTTGACTGTCATCTGATTATAAAATCAATGTACGATAGAGTTATGTAGTAGAAACAGTTATAAAATGATCAAACAGTTTTAAAAATTTTAGCAATAAAGTTAAACAAGGTGGCGACTATACACTCATTTTCGGAAAGCCTAAAAACACTCCTCGTTCCAGTTTGTCCACATTCTGACATATTTCAGCTCAATTATACCAGTGGAGGTTGAGAACTTTAAAATTTGCTTTTTTAAAATGACTGCCATAGCAAAAATATTAGTACTTGGTAACGACTATCTCAGGATCATTTCAGGCAAGTTTCAGCTCAATCACACCAAATGAGCTTGAGAAAAGGTTTAAAATGGGTATTATTCGGAGAAGCCATGACTGTGCAATTATGTTACGAAAAAACATCCATATTGAAGATTTGACATGGCTGAAAAAAAAAAAAACGATTTGTTGACTTCCCTTTCTGAACATTCCCAGCAATTATCAGCTCAATAGCACCAAAGAAACTTTAGTAAAAGTTTGAAATGTAATTTTTCAAAATGGCAGCCATATTGGATTTCTCACCGACTTAAAAAGTAACGATACTTAGTCAAGATCATTTCAGGATCTTTCAGACAAATTTCAGCTCAATCCTACTGGTGGAACTTGAGAAATAGTTGAAAATGTGGAAGGTTTATGCATGACAGTCAGCATACAGCACACAGTGATTGACAAAACATAATGTTGGGCACATTCTTAATCTCCTCTTGACATTAATGATGTCTCCACACAAAGCAATCAATTATTTTATTCAAGTATCAACACTAATTTCTTTTCAATGCAAAATTCATTTCAATGAAAAATTGAGAATAACCATGAATTATTTCAGACTCTTTGTCCTAATCCTTTTCTTTGAAACTTGATGTAATCTAATTTACGAGCTCAATCCTTTTAGTTATGCTGAACAAAATGGTGAGATCTGACACAAAAATGTAATTATAGTCGTAATGACACCATCACGATTTCAAAGTTTTTTTGTAGTCGTAACAAAATAATTTTCACATAAATAAATGGCATTCAACATAAAACCTTCACTTCCTTTTTGAATCTGTTGTAATCAATCCCAGATGTGACGCAGCATGTCACTGCATTTGCTTACCAAATACATCAACAGAGGGCAGGGAGGACAAGGACTCAATGACAGTAAATGGACAGACTGCAAATGATACTCAAGTTCTGACTATGATAGAAGTAGGTGAGCAACCTTATCCTTACAATGCTCATAAATTCATCTCTATTTATCATAGAGTAACCAGGAGACAGATTGGTGATATCACGGTTGTGTCCTTGGGCAGGACACTTGATCCTTTTTATTCTGAAAGCCATGTAAACAGCCTCCCCTATGTTGTTCAGTGATGTGACCACCTGCTGCTGAACAAGAATTACCCTGTGAAATACGACCTGTAACAAACCACCCATGCCTGTGAATAGGGAATCTGTAACCAACCAACCATCCCTGTGAATAGGGGACCTGTAACCAACCACCCATGCCTGTGAATGGGGACCTGTAACCAACCAACCATGTCTGTGAATGGGGACCTGTAACCAACCAACCATGTCTGTGAATGGGGACCTGTAACCAACCAACCATGTCTGTGAATGGGGACCTGTAACAAACCACCCATGCCTGTGAATAGGGAATCTGTAACCAACCAACCATCCCTGTGAATAGGGGACCTGTAACCAACCACCCATGCCTGTGAATGGGGACCTGTAACCAACCAACCATGTCTGTGAATGGGGACCTGTAACCAACCAACCATGCCTGTGAATGGGGACCTGTAACAAACCAACCATGCCTGTGGAATAGGGGATCTGTTACCAACCAACCATACCTGTGAATAGGGACCTGTGACCAACCAACCATACCTGTGGAATAGGGGGTCCGTAACCAACCAACCATACCTTTGAATAGGGACCTGTGACCAACCAACCATGCCTGTGGAATAGGGGATCTGTTACCAACCAACCATGCCTGTGAATAGAGGACCAGTGACACCACCAAAGCCTGTGAAATAGAGGACCAGTGACCAACCAACCAACAAACCTGTGAAATAGAGGACCAGTGACCAACCAACCCGAGATGAAAAAATTGAACACTAAAATACCCATAGATAAATACAATTCCAACTGAAAATGAAAAAAATGAAAAAAAAAAATAAAAAATAATAAACAATTTGTAAAAAGAGCAGTTTGGATATTTGACACAGCATGCCAAATTTCTGGAATGTAATTAAAATATGTTAATGTGTGTGTAGGAAGCATGATGATTAATATTTCAGATCACATAATTATCTGGAAACGTCCTAAACAACAAATGAGCTGTCAGGATAACAGTGAATGCCTCCCACAGAAATGCTATAATAATTTCTAATTGACATATCTCTGTGGCAACATGAAACCTTCAAATCTGAAGTAATTGTGTAATATGCAAAAAGAAAAATAATTACTAAATCCAATTAATATTTCTTAAACAATCCACCAATAAGTAAATTACCTACTTTGTATATAAAGCAGGAATTATACAAGAAAAAATGGGAAATTAATGCAAATATAGCCTACGCGCAGATAATTGTTTCCCTGAAACTGTTTATTTCCGTCTCAGCGAACTTATTGTTCATACCACAGAATTAATTGTACCAAAGATATGCATGTTACAACAAATTATACGTGATTTAGAAATGAAGAAATGATGCTTTAAATAGTACAAAACACGTAAAAAAATCTGTGATTATTTTTTAAGAAAATGACTACTGCAATTTAAACATCAATCTTGCACAAAACAGAAAATGTTTAAAAAATGTTGCCAAAAGTTTACAGTTAATTTATAATTAATTTGGAAGATATGACACTTGCTACAATTAAAACCAACATCAGACATCAAAGCAGACATTAAAATCAAAACTTATGACAATATTTATTTCAATATTTTGAGAGGAAATGTCGCAAAATAAAAACATAAATTTTAACCCTGACCAATGTCTTCCATGTCTATAAACCACCAGTACAAAGTATTTATTTTGTATAAAGGGAGACAACTCCTACAACCAGTCATACTGACATACTGCTTTTGTAAATAATATATCAGATCCTCAGTTGACTGTCACAGTAATACAAAAGTATCTGCAGAAATTTCAAAAAGAAGGAGTCAACGTCAAGTGGGTAATGAGTAGGGAACTATGTTGTATGGATACCAAACAGTATGCAGAGTGGTTAAACAAAAACTAAAGCGTAGATATAAAGAGCAAATCAATCACACCCTCAAGTGTTACTAGTGAGTGGGTGTTTATCTGTCAACTAGTTTCAAATCTCTATTGCAAAGGCTCATCAGGACAGATTTGCTGAGTGATTTTACCAATGCATCATGTTATTTTCAAATTCAGATCATTTAAAACAATCTAACTTTCAAATTAGAACATTTTAACATATACACAAGCCGTTTTTTTTTCATAAAAACAACAAAAAGTTCCCCACATTCTTTTAGTCTTGATTTACAATCCACATATTCTCCAAGTATGTACAGTTGAAATTCTCCAAATCAGCCTTTAATGGGACATGAACATTTGACTGGTACTGTTCATAGAATATTGTAGTCCACATACTGGACAAAGAGTGAAACACTCTATGAATCCAAGGGTCAATCATACATGGAATTTTAGAAACTTTATCTCATTCAATGTAGAAGATATGTTTCCATGGTGAACAAAGGTTTATTGCAGTGAAACATGAAACCTGATTTTGACAATTGAATATTAATTGATGGCGTATACAGTCAAACCTGATTATCTTTAACTTGTATCACTCAAAAGGCTCTATTTAATTCGAAGTATTTCATCAGTCGATCTTCACATCAAACACTTGACTCACTTACTCAAACACTTGGATAACTTTAGGTTCTCCCAAAGCTGATTTCACGACAACCAGAATCGACACCATGAACACTGAGAGATGGACAGACTGACGGCAGATAACTCAAAGTTCCCTCCTACTGTGTAACCAGTCAGGATTTATTTGTTCCACTAGTGAAACTATCGGAAGTAAAAATCGACCTACCTTTCGCTGTCCGTCTTGCTCTTTGAATCTTCATCATTATACACCATTATGACCATAATCTTCCCACTTTCTGCGATGTCATTTATGTTGGCTCCAGTGACCAGGGGGAATGCTGGGAAACGTTCTGAGTTAACCCAGTCCTGGAGACTGGACATTGTGACTATACCATCTGGAGCTGGAGAAAATGTTACATTTCAGCTGTATTAAGTTTGATTCTATAATATTTAGTACAGAAATATGTACAAAATATTGAATACTTAGCCTATTGTCAATATGACTGGGCAATGTTTTATAATATTTGTAGGTGTGCATTCTATTTCTGGAAATATGTATGAAAACTCTAATGTACAAGGTGACCTCAAGGCAAACTGTATACAGGGTTATCTACAGGCCTCTTGTCTATACAAGGTAGCTTAAAATGGTGAAATATCATTGATTTTATCTTGGAACTACAAAGGTACCCCACAATCTTTTTATGTTAATTTGTTAGTTTGGAGAAATGTAGAACAGAGCTTGTACAGAATGTACAGCTAATGTTTACACATTGATAGATCAGTTATGTATGACATCTATACACTTGTAAGGATTCCACTTATGATATTTGTTACTTCTACAAAATAGATATACAAGTTTTGTTGACAGCCAGGTTCATTATGAGTCTTGGGTATCATTTCAGTAGCTGGTGTTTACCTCACTGAACAACATACAGGAGGTCCATCGCATGCTGTCCAGTACAATAACGGTATAGTGTCTTGCCCAAGGACATTACCAAACCAAAACAAACAGGTTCATTTCTGAGTTCACCGAGAAACATAAACCCCTAGAGGTTGGAAGCATCAAACCGCTGACAAGGAATCTCCACCAATTTATGAATTAATTTATCTATTTATTGAACAGGCGTTATGGCCACTATTGCAGCTTTTAAGTCGAGAAAAATAGGAAAATGAGCAGAGATGGAAAAGTATTAAGTTATGGGAGAGAGTGGGATACAGAGATGAGATAGCGAGGGACCGTCTATACTCCTGACCTGTTCTTAAACTATGATTTTAAAGACGATCCCCTTGGCCTAATTATAGCTCTAGCCTATCACTAACTAAGCACGCAGTAAGAGGATTGATTAAGGAAGAATCCTACCTGGATTTCCACCAATTGTGGCATACCGGTCACAGCCCTTGTTCTATTTAGATTGTAAGACATGCTATGTTTCCAGAAATAACAAAGTTATCAATTTTTTTACCCAGTAGTAAGACATAAAAGTCAGACACCCAGAACTATTGTATGATTAAGTTTAATTACTAACAAAAATTATATTTTCATGGAGCTAAATTTTTGTGGTTTATCAGAAACTCACTTTTTCATTGACGGTTAATTTCATGGATCGATTTAGCTCAATAATTGTGCTTAGATTGATTATGAAAGTTCATGGAGATGTGAATTCATGGATAAAGGGTTAACACAAAATAAACAAAAATAAACTTCCCACAAAAATTAACAGTTTTACAGAAAAAGTTACACCCTTACCTTGATATTCTACCACTTCCTGATCTTTAAAGGCTAATACTGTCGGCACTACAGCTGGCTTTATATTCTTTAATGTAAAGAAAAAAGACCTGAGTATAGAGGTACAAAAACTCTGTAATCAATGGAGAACTATTGCAATGTTAGAAATATTTACACAGATATTAGAAAACATTTTCTTCATAATAAATATGTAATGGTTTTCTAAAACAAAAATTATGTAATTAACTTCCCATAAAACCTGATTTGTAACTTAAAAATTTTTTCGTGTTATTAAATTCTGATCAGACAAGCAGTGGTATACTTATACACACTGATATGCTTACATTAGGGAGGACTGTAGGATTGGCCGCATAGAAGTAAGATTGGATAAGCATCTGTTCTGCCACATTACTGTACTTGCTCTGTAAGAAAATTAAAGTCTGATACAAAAGCAGCCGTTGCCTTTTGTTTTTAAAACTTTTGTCCGCGGTGAAGTGACATCTTTTCCAATCCACAGATTTATCGGCAGAAAGATATAAAATCATTTTTCTTTACATGCCATTGTGAGAAAAATTTCTCAGATATGCTAAAGCATTCAGATCTGAGGCTTCACATATACTCAAAAATACCTACCAGTTATCAAATAAACATAACAATTTATTGCTAAAGCAGGCTCAACATCTTGTTATACATAAACGACAGCCAATTTTTAATTTGTCAGTTGTATACTGATCTAAGCATCTGGTATGGTAATTGCAGATCGTTAAACGAAAACAAAAAATATAACATCATAAGATTAAAATAGAAGCTCTTTTACAGGAATATTCTGTCCAAGTTAGCATTTCATAAGATGGTTTTTGAGAAAATTGTACACTAGCATCTACTTATATTCTTCCGGAAACCGCACGATTAGATTTCACCTAAAAATCAACTTTCACTATTTATTTGAGGAAATTTCATTTAGGTCTACTTAGATCTGTTAACAAATGTTCATGCTGCCCTGATGACGACACAACAGGTTTGTGCCTGCGTGAAACAGTGTAAACAAATGAAAATGGCAACTCCCAAGGAGACACGCTGGTAGCCACTTATTTTTCTTCCAGGAATATCAATATCTGTTAGTGTCATTTCAACATCTTTTACTAATATACTTACACTCTCGCAACTACATACCGTATTTATTCCAATAAACGCCCCGTCTCTAATAAATGCCCCCCACCTGTTTTTTAACAAAAATTTTATACTTTCCTCGTTTGCCCAGGATTTTTGTCCGGCCCCGCACATGTATACCACAATACCACTTGGTATGTCATCTTTCGGAAGGGGACGAATGCCTGGCATGTGCACAAGGGGGGCGTTTTTAGTCCCATCGGCATATGCTGCCAGTGTCACCGTTATTTTTTTGTTTTTCGTGGCCAGTACTGTGAACTCTGACCTCCTTTTCCCCCTTTATTGCCAATGTCGGTTTTCCTGGCATGTCAAACCGCACCGAGGTTTCGTCCATGTTAGCGATATGGCTATCAGGGTATTCTCATAGCCGACGCATTCTTATCAAGAAATTAAAAAAACTGTCAATACGATCATCAATTAATGAAACTTCATGTTGTGCCACATGCGTAGATCGCCTGAACGAAATGTTGTGTCTCTTTTTGAATTTAGAAAACCATCCATATGAGGCTTTGAACGATTGACTACCATTTGCCTTATGCATACGTAGGGCCTTAAACTGCAATGCTTTCCAAGTCACTCGTATTCCAACCTCCCGTCTGTCCTGTAGCCATCTCATCAGATTTTCGTCAATATCTTCATATCTGACATGCCTCCCACCTCCTTTACAGCATTTAGATGTTATAGAAAGATTTTTTAATTTTTCTTTGTTTTGACACCAGTCCCGCACTCGTTTTCTGTCAACACGAAACACTTCCGCGGCGGCATGTTTACCCTTCTCCTCTGCGAAGGCGATTACTTTAAGCTTGAAAGCAGTGCCGTAATTTCGTTTTGTCCCAGATATTGTTATCAGGTATGTGGGATTTATTAAGAAACAGACTGGCTTATATACTGCTGTGTTTTTTTATTTTGTTATGCAAACTAGGCCTGCAAGCGATGATGAACATTGTACGTTTTTGACTGAAGCTGACATCGTGTCATTTCATACAAGAATTCAGGTTATCAGAATGCAATTGACAACAATGTTTAAAGCTACAACAATGTTGGAATTACTGCAATTTTTCAAATGCATTCTTTGCTGAGTAATTCGTTAGTTTGTTAAACAATGTTTTTAAGTGACAGCCATGGCATGTCACGACCAACAAATTATGAAATTTTGTGTTCTATTAATCGCCCCCTGTCTGAAAAATTTCACGCCCCTGGGGCGTTTATTGGAATAAATACGGTACATCCGACATCGAGGTTTTGTTTTGCAGCCTCACTTTCAAAATGATCACATGATAAACGTATCATATTTGCACATTCTAATTTTATACTGGTCAGTGGGTGCTTCCATCAATTTTGCCTGTCCAAAGTGCCCACAGGAAAGATATTCTTATGCTTATAATAATTTAAAGTCATATGAGATATATTTAAAACAAATAGTGCAACAAAAATTATTTCCAGCTTGGGCAGAATATACCTTTAACACAACCTGTACAAAAATGTGAAGTTTCCATAGACAATTCTGTCACCAGCTTCTGACTAATGACTAGCATAAACCACATTACAATGATGTATAGAGTGTACGAGATGATACAGAATCAACAGACTTTTTGTTAAAAGAACTTCTATTCTAATTACATTACCAAATGGAAGAAAATGTTGCTAAAACATTCAGCCAAAGGAGTTTATAACACACAGGGAATGTGTGCAAATTAAGTTCAGATCATGCCCACCACCAAAATCTGGCCTGTCACCACATTACTCAAAGTAAAACTCACAAACATGTCGTCGACAGGGTCTTGTCGGCCCAGGTAGAGGAAGAAAGCCGAGTCTTTGTGTTGATTGTTGGCCTCATCAAACTTCCCTTTACTTGCTAGATTACGTACTGCAGGTCTGTGAACAATCAAAAACCAGTACACTCTACACTTTGCTAATTGAAGGTGTGTTGAGGAAGTTTGTGTTCCATTGTTGTTCACACCTGTATGTAGTATATACCATTCTAAATTGATGAATCACAAGACTTAAGGTAATAAGAATTGAAAATTTTATACCTTTTAATGGACAAAAATCTATAACCACCTAATTAGTCAGGACAGCATTTCCAAACACTGTAAAGTTTGTTATTGTCGAGGATGAATAAAATTTCAGAAAATAGATATTTCTAAAAGAAAAGAAAATCATATTCCTTCATTTTTCTGAAAAAATACATCTTTTTTATTTGAAGCTTTCTGTAAAACTGTGAAAAATTGAAATATCGCAACCTTTTCAGTATAGGAACAGAAGGCTTTGAACTTGTTTCAGCAATGGACATTTAGTAGTGAATAATATCAGTTACAAAAGGTTCTTTCCCTGCACTTATATCTCTCTGTGTTACTGTTACTTTGGCTTTGATGTATGAATATTTTGATAATATCCACAGGTTACTTAACACCGTAAATTGTACCGTACCCTTTGGCTCTATTTACGAACTCCAAGATGTCTTCTTTTGATCTATCCCCTTTGTGAGTGTAGATATTTTCTCCGTTAAAACTACAAAATAAAACAGTAATTTATTGTTATATTTTGATACATATAAGCGAAGTATGACAACAGTAATAAGATATATCAATAGTGAGCTAAGACACAATCATGATGATCCCGTCCAGCCGAAGAAAAAAAATTAAAATACTGAAGGACAAATAAGTTACCAACAACACAGATAGATGGACATTTTATCTTAGATTTTATCACATGAGAACACTTCACCCATCTGGCTCATTGCTTTAACTTTGACTATTGGGAAATATAAACATGAATTATCAGGCCTCTTGCTATGGCCTTGACATTGTGATATAGACCTTGGTTATGACCTTGTCTTACTATCCTCTGTAATTAAAGGGTTTCAGGCACTCAATTTGATACATTTCCCATCTCCTTAGTATGACCAATGTATACACCAAGGATCATTGTTCTAGTTTAAATCAAAGTTATACTCCAGACATAAAATTTCAACAGCAGGCAATAACTCTGTAATTAACTCTTTAACCGAGAAATTGCAGGCCCTGAATTCAGTACAATGTACAATGTCTTAGTATGACAAATGTATACACCAAGTTTCATCATCCCTGCTTTACTGTTGGCAAAGTTATGTTCCGTACACAAAAACGGACAGAAAGACAAACGGATGTCTATATGCTTCCCCAAAGCCATATCAGGTACAATTTAGATACAGGCACTACAATTTACTATCATGACTCTCTATTTGTGACCTTGACATTTGAGGTAGGAATGTCTTATGGTTTCACATTGTCCCATCATGACATGTACAGTATATTGATGAAATATCTATGGGGAAGTTGACCCACTTGTTATGACCTTGCTTATTTTTTAAGTGAACCTCAAATTGTGACCTTGTGGGTGGTGGTCATTGACCCCAAAGACTTTCAAAATATGCAGGTTGATGAAAGTTTAATGGTCATCATAGAGATCTCATTGAGAAATTTTCTATTTATATTGTCTATATAAAGCTACATGTGTTTGATATCCATTAGCTTGTCTGTTGGTTTCATTGTTGTATACCTTGTTTTCATTGGAGAGTGAATTGTTCAAGGTTTACATGACAGGCATCGTCGATGAAGCAGAAGACACTCACTCTTTTGGGACACCTGGTCTTATCATCCTGATACTTTTCAGTAGTTTCCGTGTAAATCTTTTTTTTTTTTTGTTCATATTTTACCCTAGCTTTATTTAATTTGAGTTTGGATTATGTTGACATGTTTGTATTTTCACATTGTTTTTTTTTGTATTTGAATTTGACTCACAATTTTATAGTAGGGAATCCTTTTACTCCGAACTCTGAGGCCACGCTGGAGAACCGAGTGCAATCCAACTTGCCGACCTTCACTGGTGTGTTACGGAGAGACAGCGACACTTGGTGAAAGGTTGGCTCCAGTTTCTTGCAGTGACCACACCATGGAGCATAAAACTGTCAACCAAAGCATAAAATATCAAAGGTAGGAATTGTCCACATCAAACATAAGTATAGGGGTTGTGTGTGAAACAAAGACAGGATGCAGTTATCTGATACTTTGAGTGGGAATATCGTACTTGGTATCCCAGTGTTATGTCAGATTTTACATCAAATTTCAAACTGTAATATCATGATCACTATGCTTTTAATTAAAACTTACTATTCCATTGTTTAAAACCAAATGTATATTTTTTTATTATCTTCATTATGTTACAATAAACACTACAAAATCTAAACTGTTTTTCCTTTTTCTTTTCTCGGAACAGATTTCAATGCTGCCATGTGGACATTTAAATAAGCATCCTGCTTGACTTCAGTAGTGTAAACAATAGTTTAGTTCCTATGCAAGATACCTGTAAACTATAATAATATCGTCTCTTTAAAGGGACATGGTTAGATCTCATTATTTTTTTCAAATGGCCTTTTGTTTTGAGCAAGTATTGTAATACTTCAAATTGTGACACTCTCTTTGAGATATTGATAAAGGTTATCATCTTCAAACTTACTAAACTTGCATGTGCAAAGACATTGTTTACACTCTCCGAATGATATGAAGAATTGTTTGATCACGCCTATTCTATTTTAATTTTTTGATGTTGTTAATACAAACTTTAAAATTTCATAATTAACAGAAAGTACACAGTTTTTAACAGAAATATAAATGTAACAATGTTTTTTATCAGTTTTGAAATCAATATCTAACCATTTAGTTCCTATAACTATTGATGTGTATGAAAACAAACCATGTCTGAATCTACATCTTTATATCAGCTCATGTCAAAATCTTGTGAAAAATATTTGTATGTTGTCTATTTATAGACTGAAAGATTAGATCAAGGCACTAGGTCATGAAAACTACAAAAGTATCAGATTAAACACAATCGTTCGAATGTAATCAAATTTTCATTTTCACTTGTTGCTTATCACAAAACAGAAACAGATACATTAAGAAAATACACAACCTACTCACCTCAACAAGCCAAGGGGCTTCTTTATGAACTTCTAAAAATCTACAATGAAACAAAAACAATTATCTTTCTGAAGAAAATATGGAATTCTGTATATCTGTCGTTATAGTAGTTACCTGTGTCAAGGCACGATGAATCCCCCAAGTCCCAATAAATATCAACATCAATGTTTGCCAACTACTACCGACAACAAACATCACCTAATTTATTCAGATAATATCTCTCACAACAATTAAATCAAATCTTTATTTTCCTCTACTGTCTATGGTTCATGTGTATATTGCAAATTCTACAGAATCATCTCCAAACAATATTGAAGTTATCATGTGATATGTTGCTGATATAAATGTACACCAATATAAGGTGAAAAGTGTGACGATAAAGCTATAAGAATAAAATCACAGTGAAAAAAATTGGTCAAATTGGCGACCTGGTATACATACAAACAATGTGCTATCCCTTGCAAAAGTAAATTTTAGATAAAATAGCAGACAAAACCATTGTTAGGCAACAGGTTTAAGTTGTTAATAGAAGCAAATAATTCTGAAACAGGTTCAGCAGATAGTAATTGATCCTTTCCTTCTTTCAGGTAATTTCTACTATAATTTTTGATGATTATGGATGGGGAGATTTTTATCGGTACACACTGATTGTTAATTTTGTTATATCAGTCAGTAATTTTTTAAGGATTTAAATGAATTTTTATCCTGTGTGTCTAGAACATCATTTACAAATTTATAATGAAACCCATTACTAATAGTGAAATGGATACTCAAAATTTGAGTGAGTCCTACAGGAAAATCAGGAGTCCAGAACTCAGATATCTGTGACCCAAAAATTACTGATTACTGATTGGGAGCTCTGTTGGTATTGTCTGGAAAGTGGTAAAAACAAACTTTTTCATGTGATTGTCTTCAACAGATGTACGCTGGAACTATTCTTGCAACATGGAATACAAAATATCTGTCCTCTTGATTATGGAAAACTATCTTGATGAACAACATATCTTTTCATGAGAAATAATTAAAATGAATTTAACCAGGGAGGTATAGGACATATACGTCCCTGATTTAACACATACATTTGTGGTTTGAAATAATGTTGTCAAAAATTGTTGAAAAAAATACAATTCCACCAATCAAGATAAGAGCATGTCTGATTTCTTGTTAACATGATTTACGCTTTAAGGCTCAGATACATTATGTTTCTCATTAAATGAGAAATACATGGGTGCCTAAGTGTGCTGTCATATTTGTTTGAATTCTGACGCTTATGAAATTTCCTTTAAAAGTAGGTATACACGACTCGAGTGAAATCATGAAACAGGCAATTCAAAATTCTAAACACACTTTATATCTAAATTCAAAACGGCATCTTCTTCATCAAATTGCACACGCATAAGGCAGTGTCCATGAAAGACTGTAACACAATAAACAAATGCAATCAGGCGTCGCTGGCCTGTTTAACACCAGTCCTCCAGAAATGGATGAATTCACGCAAATGTCATCAATCTGTAGATGATCAGTTTGATCGACGACTTTGATTTTGAGCTATTGCCTCAGGCCAAACTCAGCTGATCCTACACTGGGGACTGGTTTGTCCATCTTACCTTTCGTCGAGTTCCAACACATGGCTGGATACAGCACACATCAGACCTACAATAAATAGAAAATGCTTTTAAAATATACTACTGTAGATGATAGTAATTATATATCATGATCGACACACTGAACCGATATCATACCAAATAATAGAACTGTCAAAACCGTCTTCCTTATGGAGAGCGCCATCTTTCAAACAATGACAGTTCCGCAGTTTATTAACACCTAAATATGAAAACGGAAGGAGGTGACGGATATACCCGGACTATTTATTTTATCGTAAAGACATGAAAAATAACTTTGACTGTATCCCGGTAAGGGTTTAGACCTTTTATCCGTCTAGATTTTACAGTTTTATTATATTCCCATGGCCAAAAATGAATGAGTCCGTGAATGCATCATATTTCGGCAATATTTACGTATTTAGATTTACATGCACAATGCGTTTGATGTGGATTTTAAGTTGTACTAAGCGAATTTTTTTTAAATGAATATCAAAGCGATCGTAAAAACTTGAAGCACGAGTTAACTTATCTTAGACGCTAGATGTCGCGAGAATTGTAATCACGTGACCGGAAATAGCGACGTATCACGGCAACGCCAGTAGTTTAGCAACTCACGAAGTGAACATTGCCGAACTTTTCAAGGAGGGAGATTTTAAATTACATTTTACTGCGATATATAGAAAATGAGACAAGTCAAGTCGACAAAAATCTTGCACGCAAGACCAGTTAACACAAGTAAGTAATAGCGATAAGAATATTGACCAAAAAGTGTCTCAGTAATTATAATAAATGATTTGTCACTGTCGTTCTACCGTGTGTTGGGGGGGGGGGGGGGGGGGGGGGGGGTATTGAAAACATGCTTGAGCAAACAGACCGAGAGAAATTAGAGCAACCTTTGTTGAACTGATCGTATGTATGCCATTGATTGATGTCATGTATTAATTTATATAATCATTACAATTTACCATGATTTTCATTCAGGTATTATATAATTGGGGCCCTTTCCAGATTACATATGAATCCTTCTTTGTATTCCTAAAGACATTCCTGAAAATAAACGGGTTCTCTTTTAGTTTCAAGTGATTTAATGATAATTTAAACTCTAACCATGATTTGTATTGACGCTGCTTTTCTTTCAAAACGCGATCAACTTTGATCTGTGTATTTTTACACAAGCTAACAAGGCAAAAGAGAAGGAGCTAAATACATTTTAACAAATACTATTATGTAAACATAATTATCGCTACAAGATACTCAATACATGTAATGATATATGTGTTTAATTAAATTAAAAATTTAAACATATATAACCAGGTGAACATGTACAATCTATGTAATGTCTTCTTTAAAGTATATGCTGTGTGGGAGCTCTAGTTGTATATTGTTAATGTCATTCAATTTCAGGCCTGGCATGTTTAATTAAGATTAAATCTGAGATGTTTTATCAAATCAAATTAAAAATAGGTCATTGAAAACAAATATGAGATACAAAAAGATGATGACTACGCCGACGTGGTCGCTGTAGTAATTTTGGAGTGTTTTTTTTATTTGGCAGGCATCAATGAAAAGAGTCCAAGCTCCGGAGAAACCAATCTTCTAGATTTAGAGATCGACGGACTCAAACAGCATATTGACAACAGTATCGTGAGTAAAATATTCAGCATTCTGATAATTAAGTAAACACTGGTGATCACCCACCACGACCACATTTTCTCTGAGAAACGCTTGTTTGTGAATGCTTTTGTTAAACTATAATATTAGAATAAAAATTATGTATGGAAAGTGAAATACCAAGGTTCTATTTGTGCCGTTCCTATTAGATCAAGCAAACACCATGATGAATACAAATTTGCTAATGTTGTTCTGCCTGGCCCTAGGTGCTCAAAGTTTTTTAGAGTAAAAGTGATAGGTGGAAATATTTTAATACAAGTTTAACAAAATTAGGAATATTCTTACTAAATTTAAAGCTGTAGATTTGTTGAGACAGTTCAGATAGATAATATTGAGTGCCAGTTTGGTTTGAAAGTAATTGTTTCTTTTTAAATCAATGGCGCTGTTTAAAATGTCCAATACTTCAATCATTTTCATTTACTTACACTCACCAAGCTTTGAACAGCTTGGGCTATATATATGTGTGTCGATAGATTTTATGAAATTAAAAATCGTTAATATTGCAACACACGAAATAAGCAATGGTTCTTTTTCATTCACCACAGAAACGTCATATGGATATTAGATCGGACATCAGAAAGGAGGTTGACATGTTGAGACAAGAAAACATGGATTTTGCTGCAATGCTCCACAGAACTGATGAGACATTCTATTTACACCAGGATATATTTGAAGAAGTCAACAGACTGAGGTCGATGAATGTGAGACTAAAGGCTATGTTGTGTTTAGATGGTGTGAAATCAATAGAGGCATTTGGCGTTAGGACAGCATCAAGAACTTACCCAAAATATGTTCAACCACGCTTGAGTCACGCCTCTCCAATCACTCCACAGACCAATAAACATGATATCTGCACAAACAGGACAGGTGAATCGAGTCATTTGTTTGAGAGAATCGATAAACTGGAATCAGAAATGAAGAATTTCCTGAGCGAAAACCTTTTGCATGAGAGAAAAGAAACCCATCAACCGAAACATGTTTTGGATGTTGGAATGCGAGGCTCAGTGGAAAGTACAACAAACAGCATAAGGAATCTTCCAATGGATGACAATAATACTATCAAACCAAGAACAGTCGTCAACACTAAAGACAAACAGGGATTTGATCGAATGACAGATTGTGATGCAGATAAAAGAACGAAAGTCCATCAGTGCAAATGTCAAACAATACACCATGAAATCAAAAGTGACGAACCTGTTGATGGACCTCATACATATTCCACTTTCTGGATAAAAAATCCAAATCTCTTATGTGATAAAATGAATACTGGCATGAACTTTGTGAGGTCAACAGCTGAAAGCGCCTCACCCGATGACAGAAATATCAACATGAATTCATCCAGATCAGATGACAGAAGTGGGAATACAGTGATTGTAAGCTCATCCAGACCGAATTGCGAAAGTGTCGTTCATGAAGACATGAAGACCAACACGAATGATTCAAAGTCAAAGATAGATCATGTCTTACATGGCAACAGAAATATCACTGTAAACTCCCCAAGAAAATTGGAAAGTATGCTCATCCTGGTACATCCGAAGAGGTCAGAATCCGGAACAATGATTGGGTTTGATGTAGCAGAGAATTTTGAAAACACAGCCAAAGATAAGAATAAACCATTTCATCACCAGGTGAAATCTACTTACTGTGAGCCAACCCAGCCGTCTTTTCATATGGAAGTATCGGATTTGGTACCCAGCTCTGTTGGTGCACATATCTCTGTTGAAGATTTAGAGATCCGAGGTAGGTCAAGTCAAGTTTTTGTCATAGGGACATATTTCAATGGCCTGCTTTTTCATCGCTTTGTATAATATTTGCCAACCTAGAAATACAGTCGTAACAATTGGTGCAAAAACGGAATTTGAAAACAGTTTGACATTATCAATAAACAAAACCTGAACCTGTTTCAATGACGCTATTTATATGATTACAATAATATTATATTTCCGGTCCTCTAACTCAACCTCTTATTATTATTTATGTTAAGCAGATATTACACTGTTTTCTATTAATCAGATTAAAATTAATGTGTCCTTGTAAATTTCATAACAGTGTGTATTCTTGTTACAGATATCTACAAGGATGCTTCAAATGATACAGAAAATTCCATAACACCAGAAAGGACACTCAAATTCTCAACACCTTACAAAGTGGTGTCTACAAGGCACATCAGACCAAGAGAGGTTCCACGGTTGAACATGGGGGACTTGGTATCGGTATCGGATGTCAATATTGCCCAAGTAACTGAGGAAACCATTGAAGATCTTCTGTATGATCCAGACTGCAGTGTATCATACATAGACATCAGTGATGGCAGTGGATGTAAAGATTCACAAACAAATCCTGCCGAAAGTAAGAATTTGACCATTTCAGATCCGACTTCTGCATGCGTGTCATTATCTTGCTTATCTTATCATTAAGAAGTGTTTGATTTTATCTTTTAATCAAGTGACCCATTCAGTGTTCTTTCTGTTAAAATGATTAAAATGATACTGTTGACAAAAAGACCTGCATCATGGAGAAGTTCATAATTTCTCTTATGTGTATTTGAAAAGCATGTCATGGTTCATAAAACATCAGCATTCATTGTTTATCCATATTTTGTCAAACACATTTGTTATTTACAAATTGTAGATTTTGTTCGCTGCGAATCAACAGACAATGCGCCAGCAGATCCCGAACTAGAAGTATTGCCCAATGATTTGCCAACAGGAAATTGTGCTTTAGACAACACTAGCACAACATATGAAAAAGCTACGTGGAATGATACACCTATTGCAAATAGCAAGCATTCTTCACCAGCCTGTGAAAATAGACTGCAGGCCGATGCGCACCAGTTGAACTGGCACAATGTGAATGCATATACGTCACATACTGGTGAGAACTTAGTACCAAATATGCCAACTGAAGGCGAGGAAGACAGATATGCCCATTATTTGGAGTTGTGCAACACCACAATGAAGTTGACAAGTATAATCCAGGATATGTGTGCCAACAAGTCTATTCAACGAACCGATCAAGGTACGTTAAACTTATTCTTTTTAACAATGTGTTATCTTTGTCATTTAAGGCAAGCTTGAGTCACATATTTCATTCAGACAAATTACTGTAGGTGTATTTGATTTGCAGAATTCTTACAACATTTGAATCAGAACGAAGAGTTGTACACAGCAAAGTTGGGGATCAGTAGTGAAAATGTTGTTGCGGTTGAATCAGACCCTGATGTCGTCCAGTTAGACAAAAACAACTTCCCCTGGTTATTTCCTCATGTTGAAGAGAGAGAAAACTGTGAAACAAACGACGAAGAAGATGCTATCGACAAAGGTATGGTTCAAAGCATCTTAAAAATGGTATTTTATAAAGCCAGTGAAATATTCCTTTCATTACGCAAAGATCCTTTCTTGAGAAGTGATATAAGAATGATATTTCAGCTACACGAGTCACCATCCAACTGGATATCTTACATTCATAATATTTTTATCTTTTGCAGAAAGAAGCACCCTGCATGTGACAGTACCATATTGCACGATGGATAGTGCACGCTCAGACGTGTCCTGTGCAGATCTAAATGTAGACAAGGAATCACCAAATCTAGGATCTACTAGGAGAGAACACTATCCAAAGGGTAAGCTGGTATAGGTTAATAATTTTGATCACACAATAAAACACCTATCTCTCTCGCTCTCATTACAAGTGCAAGGTTGTGGTGAAAAAGTAAACTCCAATATCAAACTTCTGAAACGCATGAAATATATGTAATCTTTATGAGAAAATGTACAGATGTGTATTTTTGTCAAAATAAATGTTTCAACCACAGGACAATATTCCATTTCTATTGAATGCTATTTTACAGTCTGCTTAATAACTCCCGAGTCTCCGAGAGTCTGTATGGAGGAAACATTCACCACTGGAACAGAAACGTGGAATGATGTTATTGACACCGATCAATTGATTGTGCCAAGCGAACTCTCGTTGTCTTGCAAAAGACGACAGTCGTTGTCCATCTCTCTGTCGGAATCACACGAAGATGTTGTCAGACTGCTTAACTGGACCAATGAGGCAACTGCTACAGATTCGTCGGAAGAGAAATATAATCAATGTAATTATACTTATCAATCATCTAGAATCCATACAAGTTTGAATTTTTTTCTCAATACCATTAATAAGATAGCAAAAGCTTAAATAAATCTAATTTCTTCCATGCAGATTCATCTCCGCAAAATCAAAGATCAAACCCATGGTTCAAGGTTGAATACAATCTAGACGATGGCGAACAAACTGACTCCTATTTTAGCGACGAAAGTCCTAGGTCTGGCTATGAGGCGGATTCTGACATTTCTTGTATAGACTTGAGAGAGGAAGTCAAAAGCGTACGTTTTGCAGAGGAAGGACATGTTGTGAAAGGTAACACTATAAACATGTAGTATATTTAAAAGATGCAATATCTTCAGATATTACCCTGGCTTTGAAATTGGTTAAATCACAATAATTGACGAAGTGTAATTTGTTTACATTTACAATTGGCCTATCCAATTTATTTTTACATTTTAATGCAATTTGTATGTTTATTTATCAGAGTTCCTGAGATATTCCAGCGATGAGACAGATATATCGCAGAGTCCCCGTTTCTCTACTTCCGTTACATCGTCTGATGAGATCACTTACTTCACCGATTCAGAAGAGACAAACAGTTCATATATTACAGCCAGTGAAGACGATTCTGTAACTGGTATGTTCACTTTTCGTGTCTTCTTTCAGTCACATTTTGGTACATTATACTAATACATGTCACTATATATGCCTTCTACTATACGACAACATAATGAGTAGTGATGGTACTTGTAAATTTACAGCAAGGTAGTAAATAACTGTACAGGATTTCTTGTTTCGAAAAAAGAAACAACTTGGAAATGGATTCCAAGTAACGCCTTCTTTATACATTTTGCTGTAGATGGTCTGGACTCTCCGGATAGCTTAGTCGGATATGCACGAAGGAACCAAATGTGGGAAGAGAACTTCGTCGTAAACTACATGAACAAAACCCTCATGGAGCAGGAAAATAATGAACAAATTAGACTTTTGGTTGACCAGGCTAATGAAGACATTGCCAAAATACATGCAATTCGGATCCCTATTCTACTCGCGAAGGAAGATGAATATGAATTTAACGGTATGGTTTCTTAGTTTAAATACTTCTTTAAATAGTTCAAAATAAATTGTTTATATAGATATATACACAAGTCAAATGTTTTCAATTGTATTACTGTGTCCTGTTTCAGACTTCAATTTTCGTAATGTTTTGTTTTTATTAGCGTTGACTGAACAAAGACAGGTGATCAATCGACTGAAACAAGTATTTTATTCCTGACAGGTATGGGAGACGAGTCTGAATTGGTCACTGAGACCGTGGACAGCGCCAGGTCAGATGTGTCATGCATCGAGTTGAGCAAAGAAGTGCAGACTTTCAGTGAACTTATGGAAGGCCATGCTGTCAAAGGTAGTCTTCATCACGAATGTACATGAGAATAAGCCCTACACGCGTACACACACGTGTAGTTAATTAGTGTTGTTCAGAAAACTTAAAGCTCGTTCATAGTGTTGTTTTTTTCACGTGAGTTAATTAACATAATACTATATACATTGTATCTGTATGTCTTCGTAATACTTATCGCTTCGTCTGAAATATGTTCAAACTGTGTACGTTAGTACTGATCGAGTGGTCCTTTTACAGAGTTTATGGTAGATGTGGAAACCAACAAGGAAATAATAGACATCAGCGGTGATGAAGGAGAATCACAGCGGTGGGCAGTACCAACCACACACAAGACATACGAATTGGCGGCATCGGGATCCTCGTCGTCTGACGATCAGGTCGTTCTATCTGACATCGAGAATGGCGATGATTGGAGCGATGTTACTGGCAACGATGTCTCGTCTGTCAAAGGTATGCATATATATTAGTAGTTATTGGTTACAATAACATTTTTTTCAAAAACAGGCCGGAAGTTTGTTGTATAATTGTTAGCGTGGTCAGAGCATAAATCATTATATTGCGTTTGTTTCAATTCAGCATTTTCTGACATCGACCCACGTGACTTTGATAAAGAAGATCCGGGATCGTCTATGATAAAGAAGGACGGGACTGTACAAGATGATGTAAAGATTTTATCTACCATCTACACTGTCCCCCGATCTGATGATGAAAAGGTAGATAGGGATATCGACCTGGCTATATCTGTTGTCCCCAGTTTATCTGATCTCCAGAAACAAGGACCACGGGTCAGCCTTGAGATGTTACGTAAATTAAACTCGAAGCTGGAAAATGTAAAACAAGGTAAATTCTATTGAGTTCTTATATAGTATTTGTTTATTTAATTCGGGGCGGGATAGATAATCAAAATTCTCAAACTGCTTACAAAATAATCAGGTTCAAGTATCTTATCATTTTGTCAATACACAACAAACAAAATTCACGCCTTGTTTTGACCATTATCGAAATATATTGGGCAGAAATAAAAACACAGTTCATGTCAACCTTAAACGAATTATAGCTTTATAGAATGAATGTTATGTTTAGTGTAAATGAAGAATTTCACTATTTCAACCTGATAAGTATTGAACGTTGGGACTAATAATATCGACGATTTCTGTTATGTTTCAGGTTTGTTAGAGTCGAGCAAGATGTCGAAGTGGTTAGCACCATAGGAGGCAGTGTACATAACAAAGTTATTCTTCGTGGTGGTCAAAACACCAGTATCACAGAACCGGCCACCTCCAAGACGATGCAATGAAAAATGAATCGTTTCCACCTCTGAAAATCATTAACAAAACTGAAAAAAAAAGTAATTTATAAGAAATCTATCAATTAACGATTGTTCTTTATTTCTTTATATTATAAGTTTGTGATTAAATAAAGTCTTTTGACCCAATATATGTTTTTGTGTGATTTTTTTTATATACAAGAACTTAACTCCACTTTTCATCCAAAGATATTGCGTTCACAATAGTTTGCAACACTCGAACTTCAATAAAAGTCTCGCCTTTTTTTCGCTTTATCGTATCAGATTCTAAATTTGTATCAAAAGATGCTATTCATTTGTGACTTATGCAAACTGCCGGTGGACCTGTTTGCCAACGAATTCCAATAGTGACACTGCTAAGAATAATGTGAAAATACGAAATTTAAATATCTGGGCTAATGCATCTCGCCAGATTTCCCGTATATTTCTTTCGATCATTTTGAGTTACCTACGTCGCCTTCTTGGTTTAAAAATTTAGACCCTTGTCACAGATCAGGGTCTAAAAGGACGAAGCAGCTATATAATGTGTAGCGGATGGTGTTGTGTCAAAAAAAAAAAAAAAAAAAAAACCTCTGGGTTCGTTGAATGTTTAATCGATGTAAAATAGACATTCTGGAATATAAAATAAGACATGATCAAATACTCTCACAACGTCACAAATCTCTCGTTTCATATTCAACAATTCATACTCTTCTTTCATTAACACATTACATTTCACCGCGTGAAACAAAAATATTAATACTTCTACATTTGAATAAGATATAAGAACCAATAAAATACTTTATAACATGACCATTCCAACAGTAATCAAGTAAAATCACACTTACAACACGTATCGTGCGTTAACGTACAAGTCATGTATAAGTTTGCAACACTCCACAACATCAACTCGCCCGTCATTTATAGTAGAACTACAAATAAGAAATAACCTCTTATTCAATTTACAAAATACTTCAAGCAATAAATGCATAACGCTTATACATTGGTAAAGTAGAGGATTTACGAATATTATAATACATATACATCGTTGATTCCAAATATTACCCTGAACGTTCAGTTACCGTTAAAACATATCATTGAACATTATATCGTTCATACAAACTCTCATCACTCACAGGGAGAATATATTAGAAGAAATACTTTAACTAGAAAGAAATAAAGTTAGAGAAAACTTACCATAAAGACAAAACCCGAGGAACCTGACATTTTAACATCCGTCTAACCCGCAAGCCAGGATTCAAATGTACCCCGATGTAGTAAAAGACAAAAGACATATACCCAGGAAAAACTTTCAACCAATCAAACACCTTCGTCAAAGTCCGTCAAATGTCTTGTGTCCAGTCAGTCAGTGAATACTACTCACGTACACAAGTACGTATATATATACACTACACAAAGGGACGCGCGCTCGCCAATACGTATAAACGTTACGCGCGCAAGTAAAACGTGACACTAACGATGTGTTCGCGATGATAAATGATACACACATGTACATAACCAGTACATATATACTACCATACAAAATATAGATACTACAGGAATCACTACCAAAATACAAAATATGACCCTATTACAGATGCAGTGTAATTCACTGAATTTGCCTTAAAAGGTGTTATCCACTTAAATGTCTGTTGTGCTATATCATACGTACATCGTATATTACGTAATGAAAAGTGATTTGCATTTTTTTTTATGTTTATTTTATTTTTGCATTTTTTCATTGTATGTACACAAAGAAGTTCACACACACACGCCCTTACATACATACATACATATGTCCAACATGTATCATCATACACATTTTCATCACACACATCATCATTAAGCATGTATCATCATACACATCATCATTAAACATGTACCATCATACACATCATCATTAAACATATATTCTCATACACATCATCATCATACACATCATCATTAACATGTATCGTCATACACATCATCATTAGACATGTATTATCATACACATCATCACCATACACATCACAATTAACGTGTATCATCATACATATCATCATCATACAACACATCACCATTAACATGTATCATCATACACATCATCCTCATACACATCATCATTAAACATGTATTATCATACACATCATCATTAAACATGCATGTATTATTATACACATCATCACCGTACACATCATCATTAAACATGCATGTATTATTATACACATCATCACCATACACATCACCATTAACATGTATCATCATACATATCATGTAAGTATTATTATACACATCATCCTCATACACATCATCATTAAACATGTATTATCATACACATCATCATTAAACATGTATTATCATACACATCATCACTTACATGTATTATCATACACATATATACACATATATATCATCATTAGCATGCATCATCATACACATCATCACTAACATGCATCATCATCATCATCATCATCATCATCATCATCATCATCTACGGATTTGTCAAATTGTGAGTGTTCATCATATATCTAATGTACAGCATAAATAATCAACTTTTTTTATATTTATTTTATTTTTTGCATTTTTTCATTGTATGTACACAAAGAAGTTCACACACACACGCCCTTACATACCTACATACATACATACATATAAGAAAAAAGGAGAGAAGAGACAGATTATGATAGAAAATGGTTAGATAGAGGAGAGAAAGAAGGCAGATGGCTAGAGAGAGGAAGAGAGAAAGAAAACAGATAGGGAAAGAAACAGGAAGGAATTCAAGACTTAAATAAAACTATATAAGGCAGATGGTGATTTTAAATAATTTACCAAACTGAAAATTTGTTGGTACAGATGATGGCCATTGTCAGGGACTGGTAACCATATCAGGTTTATTGATTCATATTCAAAATTAAGTATTGAGTATCTTAATTATGTTTGAGTAAAAAAATCATATATTGATATAGTAACAGAGTGGTAGTAATATTAGTCGTTCATGATTTTTATAAATTTCTCCCATTTTTTCCACCCTAGTGCAAATTTGTCTTTAACCCTTTCCCCTTTAGTATACGTGATATATTTTTGAACCTTATAATAATCATGGATGGCACAGGTTAGAGCATTAATGCTGAGGGACTTATGTAAACATCTAGTTCTGTAAATATATTGTTTTATGAGTAAAATAATTTGGTTATCAACACTATATATTAGGTTGGTCCCATTATCTATCTTGCCAAAAAGTATTGTTTGTTTGTTAACAGTAAAAGGAATATATAAAGCATCTAGTAATCTATCTAGACTTTGCAAAAGATTCTGGACTTCATCACATTCCCGTGATTTGCATTTTATAAGCGGAGATAGAAATAAAACGAAAGAGGTACAATGTAATTTGAACTGTACTTCACATGTGCCTTTATCACATAATGAACAGTCTCTTTAGTTTTAACAAATTTATCATTCACATTAAAAAAATCTTGAAGGAAACTGGATATCTGGATCAGCAGCGAATAAACTGCAAACCCTGTGTACATTTCTGTGTTAACAACTGCTCAGCTACATCCAATCTAATATAAATGTTCATTATCTGTTGTCTTCGAATTTTTGTCAACCCGGCAATACTGCGGGAACATTTTAGGACCCAAACGTATTGAGTGTGTTCCCGATTACCCTATTACATATATAACTATTATAATACACTGTACTATCCATCTGTGGTGGGTTTTTTTTTTTTTTTTTTAAACAAATGTATGATAAATGTACAGTGCCAAATAGCAATAACATACAAAATGTTAAATAAAAATTAGGCATATTTTCAAGTCTGTCTTTTAGATATTACCGCGATACAAATGCTTATCTCCTGATTTCAAATAGTTCATATGGCAATCATCACGAAAGAGAAAGCCGTGCTTACAATAATCACCGACTTGAAGAAATTTTGTATTTGAACATGAAGAATCTTTCGTTCACCATCCATTAAAGCAGCAAGCATAAAAAAACAACAACACACCGTTTTTTGCCGTAAGCTCTGTTAAAAACAGCAAACATATGTATGTATGAAAGTTCCGTTACTGTTCCGTATTTTAAGTACTGGTAGGTTAGTCGTTTCTTAAATTAGTGACGTCTAATAAAAAAAATATATATATATATATTATAGACTTGTTTGTTAACATTTTATGACTACTTACCATTTAAAACAAATAATATAAACTTATTGTCAAGATGATCCCACATGATATAATCATATAATATATCAGTAATAATCAGTGTTTATCGACAAAATAGTTTGCTGCGGAGACGTGACATCGATCCAAGATGGCTGCCACCATGAAGAATTCGGTGCGTGTTTTGAGTTTTATTACATCTCTTGTTGCTATGGCATAAGTGTTTCATTAACATATAAATTCCCGGTAAATGTACATATATCTAATTTCAACGTAGTTATGACCTTGTATTAAAAGGTGTAATACGCTGTATTTCGCTGCTGTAATACTCACCATAATCTGAACATGCCGAAAACATGCCTGTATCTGTCAACGCCGGCTTTGACGCTTTACCCATTAATTAATCTCCACATTCACTGTTATATGAAAAATAGAAATATGATCGATGAAATAATATAGGAAAATCGTTGCTAGCTGCGACAAACGTGTCGATATTTTCACACTATGAAACATTTTACAGGATACAGACACACAGGTGACATACCAGGACCAACAGAAAATCAACAAATTTGCCCGCAATAACGCCCGGCTACAGGACTTAAGAGACGAGCAAGAAAACAAGAAGGTCTGTTTGTAATGATTGTCTAAATGATGTAGAAATAGATCAAACGAATAAGCTTTTTTTTTCATTTCATACAAGAAATTTATGGAGTGTCGTAACGAAAACATGAAGTTCAGAAAATCATTATGAAAACGAGAAACATACAATTCAATGAATGTATAATCTATGTATAACGCTTCGTATCTTGTTGTTTGTATACTAACAACAGAGTTAGACAAACATAAATATATGGTCTACACACACTTGTTCCCAGTTATACTAACAAGCAAATATTTGTTTTTCATTTTGTCAAGCATACAGAAAATGTAGGCAGAATTTCAGTCCAGTTTAAGTGTTTATGATTCTCAGCTGAATTCATATTAAGAATAAAGATTTTTTGCCACAATGATGTGTTGGATCCAGGGAAAAAGTTTAAAAGAGTTATTATCTGTCATCATTTCACATTTATAAACAATACACATATTAAACAATACCGATTTGGAAAAATACATGCAACTAAAAGGTGTTTTCTTGATATGAAGTAATATTATTGGAAACAAATTATGTCAAGACTCATTCAAGGTTTATACAGTAAAAGTAGCTTTTAAGTTCATACAGCACCTCTACACACAAGCTTATAATGCTGATATACATTTCAATAAAACAGGTGAAAGTCTTCTGTGGGTTTTCATTCCATGTAGAATAAGGAAAGACACAACAAATTAACAGGGTGTGTTAAATGTTTCCTTCCTTTGAATTTAACAGAAAGAGTTGCAGAATCTGGAGGATGCTGCTGATGAGCTTCTGATGCTGGAAGATGAAAGTGACGCTATTCCATATCCTTTCAGCATATCACTGAGGTCACTTCGACCGGGACAAGAATTTTTAATGAATTTTTTATATCATTAGGCATAAATAACCATGAGCTGCATATATACACCTACCCAATGGATTAAAACACAAATAATGAATTTTTAGACTTTTAATAACTATTTCTTTCGCAATAAGCCCATGCAGTGTGGACATTGGAAATCAATCAAAATTTATTTGTTAAACTGATATGCATCATAGTGATCATTGATGCACTAAAAAGTTAGTCAACTCATTATGATGAGGTTTCTCGCTCAAAAACAAAACATAGATGCTTGGGTTACATAATGCTGCTTTGTTAAAGAATTTGTGGATGGTACATGTTCCTCCACTTCAAATTATTTCAATTTAGATGTAATTTTCTTGTTACATCTTATTTAGAATTGAATGTTTTGCTGTCTGTTGTTTGTCCTTGACTTTAGTTTACTTATCAGATAGGAGAGGTCTTTGTCAGTCTGAACACTGATACAACCAATGAGATGTTGGAGAAAGCAAAGGAGCGTGTTCAGGAGGAGATCAAGGGCCTTGATGCACAGTGTGAGGTCCACAAACAAATCCTACAGGACTTAAAAGTGGAACTTTACGCTAAATTTGGCAATAATATCAACCTGGAAGCAGATGATGATTCCTGATATGTGTAATTGTAGAAATTCCTGGACTATTTCATATTTGTATTACCATTTCTTTAACAAGATGAGAAGGAGTAGTCTTCATAGTACAGCAGTTTCCAACATTCTCATTATCAGTTTTACTTTCAGTTTACCTGTACTTTACAAAGTAAACTGATAATGACATCTTCTTAAAATTAAAATGGTTAACATAAAACATTGTTATTTTTTCAATTGGTTTTACAGACATACTGCTATAGTTGATCCAGATGGATCCTTGAACTCAATAAATATTGGGTGGTCAGATGGCACAGTGGTTACACACTCACCTTCCACCTTGATATCCACCTTGATTCTTCAAGTGGATGTGTAAAACATGTGGGTCACCTGGCTGACCACTTGGACTTTTCTCTGGTTTCCTCCTACAAAAACACCTCTTGAGAACTTTTGTCCAGACAAAAAGATATTAATATCATCTGACACAGGTAGCATATTTCACAATCATTTAAAAATAAGTGAAGTTAATATTATTAGAATTATGTATATTTAGGATGATTTTTTTTTCAATTTAAGCTGATTTAGGAAACACCACATTGTTAGCTGATTTTAGGCATAACCTGTTTACTGTGGTCCATTTTCTGACTTTTACTACAATTTTTTTAAATTTTGGTCAGATTTCCTTCAAACTTGGTTGTCTTACTTAAAATGACATGAAATTATGCTCTCACAGTGACATTTGCATTACATATTTTCATTTCAATATTATGATTCAAATCTGTCCAAATTTCCTTTTTTAAGGCAGAGAGGGGGCATAGAAAGGATGCTTTTTAGTACATCACAATATTCTTGTCCATCTTTTGAAGACAAGGCAGTGTTCACATTTAGCAACTGAAATCTAGACTATTGATCTATGAACCTTATCCTTGGTATGACCTAGAACCTAACCTAAGAAACAATTGTGTCAAATCCTTTTAAATCAGTTCAGACAGCAACAGTTTTTCCAAAATGTTGTAAACAACACAATAAAACATTTAGCTGCTGTGACCTTGGACTTTGAACTGTGACCTTATTTTCAGAATGTAGTTTCAGGCAATGTGTTCTGCTAAGGACATACAAATTAAACTTAATCTCAAATACACAGTCAAGATTTCATGGATCAAACATATTAAAATCTACCACAAATTCTTTTAAGTTGTCAGGATCTAAAAAAGAAAGATTTTTGAAGTAACGTCTTAGAATGACATACTATGTCATAAAATTCTTCCTTTGCTTGTCCTGGCTTAATCCGAGTTACCCAAAATTTTTTTTTTAAAAATCATCCAACAAAGATCCAGGAATGAAGACCAACAACATTTGTGATATTCACTGAATTGCTATGAAAATTTAAATCATTTGTACACAAAATTGTGATATCTGCTTATTGCACCAAATAATAATGTTACAGGTTCAACAGACCTATCATAATTATGTCCTCCAAACGAAGTAGGGGGGTGGGACATATTGTGTTTACTCCGTTTCTTATTATTATTTATATTATTCTTATTTCTTCCGCCGGCAAAGTTTCCGACGCCTTTCTCAAAAACTTTTACATACATGTTCATACATGCGAGGTGGAGTGCAGGCCACTTGAATTTTTCCAATCGGTCAACTGTGGTCAAAATTTGGCCAAATTTTAGATATTGTCCGATTTTTGTGAAAATTGGTATATATGTATTAGGTGGCACTATAGGAGCAAAATGGCGTAGTCCATTTTTCATTCGGCCATCGATCGGTCATCTGAGCGGTCAGCTGTGGTCAATTTTTTCATTCGGCCATTGATCGGTCATGTGAGTGGTCAGCTGTGGTCTATATTTGGCCAAATTTTAGATATTGTCCGATTTTTACTTTCTCATTTCCATTCAAAATTGGTGTGTTCATGTTTGGCATGACTGCAGGACTGATTATTGTGATCATTTACTGCTGAAGGGGTCGTTTGGGGGACATTTGTAATGGTCTCCATTACAATTAGTACTTGTTTATGTTAATATTGGTAAAAAAAGAACAGAAACAACTTATAAATGTAATACAGATTTTAATGGAAAACATCCTATAAATATTACAGTATAAAACATCTGCTAGTGGAATGCTACACTAAAGTCAAAATATGAATACATTTTATTGATCTTTTAATTTGACATCGTTAATACTGATCAGAAACTTTCATGGCAATGATACAAAATGGACAGTTCTCTAAAATTCAAACATGCATCCATAGAAGTATTCTGGTGTGTAGAGGGAAGCATTGTAGAGTATTTAATACTAGTTTGATTTTTGTCTCTTAAAATTCAAACAAACCTTCCTAGTAAGTATTTTGGTTAATGGAGGAAATCCTTGTAGAGATTTCAATACTGGATTGGTGTTTCCCCCTCTATATAGATATAAAACAGTGACTATCGCACTTGCTTCTTGCAAGTGTTTATTTTAATAGTCTACCATTTTGACAAATCAGCTTGTCTATAATTTTATCTGTAAGCATGCTGGTTTGCATACAAGGGTAACTAGAACGATCACCTAGGGGCAAACTTATACCCACTACATTTGGGCTGAATGAATGATATCAAATTTGACTTTGAACTTTAACACAGTGACCTTGACTTTGAGTTTGTTGACTTAAATTCCAACCAATTCTGCTTCATAATATCATAAAACCTGCATCAATGAAAAAATGTTTCACTTTATGCTATCAATTGTTTTCACATGACAAGGGCCATAACTCCATTAAGAAATGGCAGAACTAAATAGCATTCATAGAGATACAAGAATATATCATGTTAAACTTGTGTCAAGTTTCAACAAAATCAATGCATAATGTTTGGTGGAGTAGGCAATACAACATTGATACTTAGTGCTAGCAATAGTTGTTATGTGACAAGAGCCATAACTACAGTAAGAATGGGTGGAACTGAACCGTGTTCGCAGAGATACAAGAACATGTCATGGATGACATGTGCCAAGTTTGATAAAAATGAAAAATTTTGAGAGGAGTAGGCAATACAAAATCGTGTCCATGGACAGACAAACAGACATCCTGATTCCATTATTACACACACAAGCACACACATACACCCTGAACTTTAAATGTTGCCGGGATACGAAAATTCCTGACAGCCAGAGAGCATCTGTTATAGCATGTTGAAGGGATTTTTTTATTTAACATATAGCACATTCTGAGTATTCCAATGAGATTTTCAGCAAAAATGTTGGGAAAGTTGGTAAAATTCTCCAAAGAATGATCTCAGAGACAATACATATCAAATATAAGGTACATATCATACTCATAGCACAACTACTTTAAACTAGGAACATATATATCTTTAAAAAAAAAAGGAAAGAAAAAATAGCATGGTAAAACGATGTATGCAAGGGCTTTTGAAATAATAAGATTTTGACCAAAATTAAGAGACTAAAATTCGTTCTAACAGAAATAAAATTGAAAGATTTGTAAGAATGATGATCATGGAAATTCTCAAATGCTTTCAATTCCTTCCATACTTTGTTAGAAATATCTGTTTGCTGCATCCTTCAAAGAGAAAATTTGAATAAAGATTGAGGAGTTCGCACCTGACTAGAGTCCATTGGACAGAAAACTGTAACAAGATTTACTATACATATGTGTCTATTTTTGGAACACCAAGTAAACATTCATTTGCTTTTTGCTTATTTTCCCTTCTTATCTTGTTTTTTACCTATTTTATATAGCATCTTTTTAATCTAGTTCAATATCTGTACTCAATACTCTCCAAATGCATTTAATAATTATATTTGACACCAAATGCATATACATGTACTAGCCAGCAATATTGCTCTATATATAGATATTCTCAATTTGTGGCCATGATTTCATACAAAAAATATCTTCCTTATTAAAAAGTTTAAAAATTAAATTAGGCCATCAAACAGTATATCCCAAATAAGTAAGTAAGCTTTTAAGTTTTGGATATGTCCAATCTCCCAGTTGTTAAAACTATCAACAACGTTCTAACCTATTGTCAGTTGAGACCAGATATGGTGTCCTGCTGGAGTCTTTTGGCAGTATACTTCAGTGAGGTAGCATTGTAAAGTTAACTCAGTTCTGCACTATCAAGTTTACTAGAACACATCGCAGCCTTCCAAAAACACATGCATTCATCTCTGTACATGCACTCACTTGGCATACACTGTAAAAGGAGGCCATCACAAACTGACCATAGCTATTGGAAGGAAGTTAAGTAATACAGCCCAAAACCAAACCTCTTCATGTATATGAACAGCTAAGAAACTATATTGACAGCGCAATAAAATTTCATGTTGAGTGTTCTTTTTCTAAATGTAATAAACACAATCTGTAAAAATCAATACAATTTTATGACAGGAGTTCACAGATTAACAGATATGTTTCTATTATCTTTCACCAGAAAATATAAACTGTATTTCTCCTCAGCTTTGTACCAAACGCAGGCTGCCGACACAATAACTTTAATTCAGAGTAAGAGAATTGGCTTACTGCAGAACAATGCAATGGAAAAGCTTCTATCAGCATTTTAATTGCAATATTAAATATTAATCAACATGAGCAGGCTTCTTACCGGAAAGCAGAGTGATTATGACAAACAATATTGTATACAAATCATTCTGCACCTGCAATCAGGTAAGAAATTTGATTACAAGATAAATACCATAAGCAGCCTAGGTTTGAATTTCAACATTTCCAAGTTTGAGTTACTTTAGAAGCAGGACGGAAATATACAGGAGGTTAAACATATTAAGCATCATAAACACATCAAACATATTGGAGACGAGGTATCTGTAACTGATATCAATAGATACCAGCTGTTCAGTGAGTAGACAGATTATTGAGAATTCCCAGAGATGTATGTTCTAGCACAATATACATTATGTGGGCAGATGATAATGTCTGTTATTAGTGTATTGAAAGAGGCCAAATGGCATTAACGATCACCCACTTTTATATAAAATCTGTCATTTTTGTTGTGACAGTTCACAGAAATAATTTTGTGACGATCTGAATTACATGTACTGGGGGTACATTGTTTATGTTCTGTAAATGTCAAATAAGCATAACATTAAGCATGAAAACCCAAATTAATAATCTGACCACGTTTGAATTATTTCCACTGGAAATTAAATGAATTACACTAAACAAAAAAGTAGTTTTATATAAAACCATTGTAAACTTCATCTCCTGACTGGGGGATAATGCGAGACCCTATGGCATGAAATTCACAATTTTTGTAAATCATCTCAATTGAGACCCTATAATTCAGAATTTTGGTTCACCTATGGCTATGAAAGTTTGCTGCAAAAGGAAATGCAAAATTTCCTTTAAGTTGATACAGGGACATTGAAAATATAACTTTTTTTGGGACGGACTACATATGATGCCAAACAAAAGGCGATTGCGATTGGTCATTGGAAACTTCGTGTCAGGTGACCTAAACTTTTCACTTTAAAGTACAAAAACACCTGTGAAAAAATAAGTAGTCATGCATGGACATAGTGATATGTTACATGCATAGAAGTCCAAATTTGAATCTTGAAAGCTCATGAGAGCTAAAACCTGAGTTGTGTTATATCATTAACATTACTTTCTAAATATCAGTTGAAAAAAAAACGAAAATCATTGTAATATATCATCAAAAACAATATTTCTGCACCAATTTCATTTTAAATGACAATCATATTTACATCTGAAAATTTAGAAACATACAAAATATCCCTAGACTTTCTCTAAACTAATCTTCTTAATAACGCTTCTCAATTACTACTGGTATTCTACGATGCATTTGCACTTTAGTTTAAATAAGAAAAATTAGAAAAAAGGTAACCTGTATTCTACTGATTACATATTACTATTGCACTGTTTCCGTTATAGCTTCTGTTTCCTGTTGTAGTACAATATGACTACAATCATTTGCCTGGTGAGGTATGAGGATTGTGTCTACCGACTGTCCATCTGTCCCTGCCAGTAATGTCTGGTAAGCCACATTCATCGCGATATCTGCCACTTCATAATTGATTGTATTCCCATCACTGTCTGTGGCAATTACCAGCTGGTTTGTTTGTAAAGCATTTTGGAGATTCAGATGATCAGAGCTAATATCTGGGTCAACAATTAGATTGACAGTGTCTGTGATTTCTTCAACTGTGTCTAATTTCTTTTCCTCCATATTTTTCTTTGACCAAGATTTTGGAATTGCTATGCCATGCATTTTTTCCTCGTGTCTTTGAAGATGATGTTTATGTCTAAAGATATAGCCACAGACAGTACACTTAAATTTACCTTTAGTTGTGTGATTCCTTACGTGTGCTCGACACATCACCTCATTTCTGAAACGCCAGGTGCACCCTGGGTAGGTGCAAGGAAATGGACGACTCATATCATGAACAGATTTGTGCTTGGCCAAAGTGGATTTATCAAAGTAAGCTGTGCCACAGATATCACATAGCACACATCCCTTGTTGTGGATCTGTCTGTGTTCGTGGATCACAGTATTTATAGAGGAAGTGAAATCACATTGATTACAACTATAGGCTTCCTTTTTGTGAATTTTCCTGTGTTGGTTTAAGTATGCTCTTGTTTTGAATGCCTTTCCACACTCATCACAAAGAAACTTTTGGTCAGTCCGATGAACAATCTGATGTTTCCTCAAATACCGAAGTCTATTGAACACTTTGTCGCACTTGGGGCACGTGAAGTTTCCAGGAAGGTCCTGTTTTTCCACGCCACGTGACCGTGGGTGAGCAGCCTTATTTTTCCACATCACCTGCATTGCTGTATACTCAGACATTTTCATCACTGTTCTATTGCTGTCTGTGTGTGCTGTTTTAATCTGGATGGCTTGATGGAGCGACAAAGTCTCTGGATGTTCCTCTCGCATATGTCGACACAGTCCACTCTTCCAACTACTTTGGTAGTCACAATGTAAGCACCTGAAAGCTTGTTTACCGTATGTGATGGAATTTCCCTCCACTAAGTCTGTAAGGAGTATAAAGTGGAAGTCATCCGTTACCGATTTTGCAAGTACAGGAGCGCCAGATATCAGTTCTGTATCCGTCTGATTCAGCTGTTCCGAAATCAGATTTCCATTGTCATCCCCATTACATAAATTCATCAACTCTCCATTGCTGACCAAAGCTGAATTAGTCAGTGAGTCACTTTTCTCCACAATCACATGGACAGATGAATCATTATCTATAGACCCAAGCTCACACAGATCTCCAGGGTGCTGCATACCATACGGTAGTTGAACATTTCCTGAAGTCATGTTAAAATCCTCATAACTTTGTGACAAGCCAGAACTTTTGTCTTGGATGTCTGAAGTTGTCATAAGAGAACAGATTCCATTTGTTATCAAGCTGTCATGGCTACTTCTCTCCATAACAACATGCACAGCATTTTGATCTGGGAATAAGAACTCTTCATGTTCATGAGAATGGTTTGATCTATGTACTAAACGTGCTTCATCTATGTCTGGCCCTGAATGGGGCATGTTACAGGATAGTGCTGATGCATTGAAGTTCGCATCTGTACCAGATTCTAAAAGATGAGAAATGGGATGTGTGTCCAAAGCTTTGCTGGGGATAATATCACTATTATTACATGTCATTATGATAACAGCTGTGGACTCCAGTCCTTGACTGGTTTGTACTGTATCAAGACCAGAACTTTTTTGAGCAATATCCTGAATGTTAGTGATTTGCTCTGATGTTTGTTCAATAGTATTAACAATGTCATCAAATTCAGACTTTTTTTCCATGACAGCAAACCCACTTTCAGCTGGTTGTGTGACTTGACCATCATTTTCCGTCTCTGACTGAAGTTGGTCACTAGTATTTTCTGTCTTTTTTCTATGTTTGTATTGACGACTGCCGGCCACAGATCTGTTTTGGCTGCTGTCATCTGAGAAGATTATCTTGTGTTTGATGCGATAGTGCTCCTTCAGGGTGATATATCTAGCATAAGATATCTGACAGAACTCACAATGTATTCCTGCACCAGGGGCTGCATCTGAAAAACGAGCAAACTATAACTATATAATTTTGTATGACGTTTATTTACGTGTACCTTTTAATTCATCACACCAGTTATATGTAGCCTCAAAATTTCGAGACACAATTAATTCATATACATCATACGATAGCATCAAATTCAACCACTTGACCTTTAACAATATGAAAATGATGACATTCCTGGTGATATTGCTTCGTAACAATAAGATTTAATATTAGCCCTGGAAAGCAATTTCGTATGTTTATCAACTTTGTCTTTAATTATGTTACTTTAACCTTCACCATTGCCAAAACATAACTTCATACTCACAATTCATATGCAATGTTTACCCTTTTGACTATTACACTGAATAAAAAATTCCAACACGGCTTCATATTCTTTTCCAATTATATCAGCTTATGGACAATATTGAAAGGACAATTCCAGGGTTGATCCAACACCATTATATTTTCTTTTTAAGGATTAAGGAGTGCCAATGATTCGCTTTGGATTACAAGAGATTCAATTACAATAAATATGATGTGTTGGTTGGTCTACATAGATTTATTATGAATACATTGTGTTGTCGTAAATGTTCTTACCCGAACAATTTTTAAATTGTATCTTTTGTTGAAGTATTGAAAATTTTGGGGATCTATTGATCATAACATGTGACATACATATGTAATAATGAGATAACAAAGTGATAATAATTATCTAGGACTGGAGAGATTCCTAGGAAAAATCTAACGAATCCAAAGTCAGAGATATGCTTACGCTGTGCTTTGTGATTGAGAAAATCCAGTATTGTGTAGCTTACACCTCCACACACAGAGCAGGTAAACATGTCCGACATCACTGTGTATCTCCTGCAAAATATATTTCGTTTATATATTCAACATGTTCAAATACAAAGTCACAATATCGCGAAATATCTTCTTTATGATAAAGGATCATTTCAGGCAAGTTTGAGCTAAATACATGGCACTAGTGGACATCGAGGTGAAGCCTGCTATATATACGAGTGGTTATAAGGATCAACCATGATGACAATCATATTGAAAATAGACTCTGTGACTGACAGGTTGAATATTGACCTAGCAGAAAAATAACAACACTCTGATGGAATTTTATCTATTACATCCCAACCAATTTTCTGCTCAACAGCTTCTGTGAAATAGCAAACAAAGTTTAACGGTACATATTAGTACCAACATACTGAACAATATACATCCGTATTTGCCGTAGACAAACATATTACTGGATCAAAATGAAAACTAAGAAATGAAAAAATAATCATCCAATGAGGAAACACATTTTATTTTGTATCTATAAGCTTACCAGCTATGAAATAAAAAGATGAAAAAAAAATGAGGAAGATCTCCAGAAATGACCGACAAACATGTATTTAGTATTACTAAAGCAATAATGTCACCTTCCACCCCCACCCCCAAATCACACACACAAGCTATTACACTGTAATAATTTATAATGATGGCGCTGTTAGGTGATAATTTGGAAACGGTCATGTGTAAGAGGTTTGGTCAAAAATGGTCAAAAACCTGTAAGAAATATAATCATCCAAGCACTGATAACGACTTTCTAGAAATAGGTAACAGTGACTTTGACCTGTAAACAAACAATCCTGAAACTTTAGCGCAAGACAATCTAGTGTTTTAAAAGTGTGTTAAGTTAAATAAAAATCTATCAAGGAGAAAAGCTGCTAGATAGCCGACAATCAATAAAACTAGTTACTGTGACATAACCTTGACTCGATAACCCTGAAAATCACACATGTCCAAGATATTTTGATGCTTTATAAGTGTGTGAAGTTGAATGAGAATCACTTAATGTATACCCTAATGGAAAATAGAAATGAATATAGAATCATTTTTCATGATCTAAAATCAACAAGGTTTAAAACTCAAAATCAGCTGGCCCAATACCTAGATATTGACATGTAAAGTATATGATTTTCACTTGACCTTTTACTTCTTCTTTGTAATCAGCCAAAGAGTGACTCCTGCTGCGTGGGACTCTATCGAATGTGATGTCACAAGTTCAACAACTGGTAGCAGTCACCATGGCAAGAATATAGGCGAGACCGAGAACAACTACCTGTGCATGCTATGTCTGGGTTTTCCATAAGAGTCGGTCATCCGCCAATTTGACCGGCTACTTTGATCATTTGGCCGCCTACACCAATCCAGTTCCGTAATAATGTTCTGTACACGACTACACGTACACGGCAGGCCAGCCTCCTACTTTCACTACACAGCCTACTACTAACAAAATTATGGAAAACCCTGTATGTAATGTTAGGTTGCAAATGAATGTTTCGTAGTTTTGAGGAAGTTGATAATTCTGACGATAACATTACATAGACAGCTAACAGACATATAAAAATTTTCCAGAAGTGTTTAATTTAAACATATGTATTGTCAACTGTCAGTAGTTGGTAATAAAAATGTGTATGATTTGTAACTGTCACACTGTTGTAAGCTATATAAAACATTGCTTGAACGCCGACCCTTACAGGGGTCGCTGATGTTTGGGTTTATTCTATGAGCAGGAATTCTGACTTACCGGTCAAGTGACAAGACAAAATCAAATCGCGGATAGACAGTCAGAATCCCTACAGATTAAGTTACAATGCAGATGTATTGTCATTTGATGGCAAGTAGTTTTACATATCCAGCATGATGCATAGTAGACAGATTCTACTTGAATTGTTTACAATCCAGGTACAGATACCCGTGTTTTGGAAAAGAAAACGTCCAACCTCATTTTACTAGCAATGATATTCCCAACCTTGTCACAATCATCAAATAAATAAATTTATAATCATTTTTATATGTTAACAGGCCAATTGCAAAGATAATTGATAATGGCTTTGAATTTGAATTTTGATTCTTCCTTCATCACCAATGATTTCAAACAAACATCGGTCCTAAGCTTTACCTACTGTTGTCGGTATCAGAATAACAGTCCAAGATTGCCGGTGTCACCGAGCCATTTACGATTCTGAATTTGCTATTAACATGAACAAACTTCGAGGCTTCTTTGTATTTGGAGAAATATCTATATCTTGACTATAATACAATTGCTATGTTATTCCATACAATACTATCTTTCATACCGTCGGCGTACGTAGTTTTAATCAAGTTGAAGTCAGCCTCACGAACATCCTCACAGATTCTACCGGAAGTACGGTTACCGTGATAGCACATGAAATACACTATTTGATTGGTCAATATTACCTTCCTATATATAGAAGTTTGTTTTGAAACAACACGTGGTTTTTAACTATTCGTGTAGCATTCCCAATGCATCCTTCTTCTTATTATTATCATTATCATCATTATTATCTCCAAAATGAAGATTTCAAAAGAAATGAAACGTGTAATACAAAACACTCAGAATATTGTAACGTTTTCCCTTGTCACAAATATTTTTAATGGCCCGTGATGGTCTGCGAAAGTACAAGAAAACAATACATTACATTTATATTTATTGCTATAGTTTAGATTACAACGTGACAGGTGGTAAAATAATGTCACACCAACCAGACATCTTGGTTCTGTGACACCAACAAGTTACCATACAGGGGACTTGGTAGGTACTTGGTACTTGGTATTTGGTAGCTACCAAAACCAGGTACCCCACCAGATGTGATTGGTAAACCTCTAGTCACCACTCCCTTATGTAAGGGTACCTGGTGGTGGCTACTTGGTTACTACCAAGTCACAGAATAATGAGGATCTGTACCAATAAACGTACCATGATTTGAGCTTGTGTCATAGCAAGATGTGCTTCTCTCCTCTCCTTCTTCAGCTCTCCAGAAGGAGATACTAACGGTCAGTGTATACCCTCACTGGGGTTATAGGTCATGTGTGCCCATGCATGGCCTAAGACAGCCAGGTGTCCTACACCTGAGCACATAATCACAGGTAACCACCAGTGCTATATACAGACAATAGGGTATATGTAAACAAACACATATATTAGAAAAATAATGTTATCACAGTATATACACACGATTACACAACAAACAATACATGTATGGCTTACATGCACATGTGTACATGTATCAGATTATATAGCATATCCATCTTGTTATAATGTGACTATCAACTCAACTTTTTAGTGAAATATATAGAGAGAACACGCATGTACGTAGTGTAAAAACACTTCATTATACATACGTAACGAGACCATGAAATCAACATTGTACTTTATTTTTCAGTACACGCATAATATCAGGGACGTATATATTAAGTATAGATACATAACATTAGATTGGGACTAAGAAATCAACTTTGTCATTAATCTGTATCTAGAGTGCACGCAAAATACCAAGTGCAACAATATAATGAAATGATATCAATTTTTTATCTATTCCTTTTATTTAATACAGTACTGGTGACGTGTTTAAATAATCATGTTCGTTTATTATTATTATGTTATTTCTTTTTAGACTAAACGTACTCCGTACGTACAGCCTATTGCGACGGCTTTTCAGACAAAATTTACCGATCCTAGCCTTCTCATTGGCTGAAATATCGAAAAGAGTTAGAGCCCTCTTGCGGCAATTTTCTGCATAAATAATGCCGCGATGTTTTAAATCGCTATTTTAAAAGCATCCAAAATTAGTTTATTTTTTAATAACAATACGATTACTTTATATTTCAAAAAAGAAGCACAGTGTGGTTGAACTATTGATAAATTTTTAACAATATATTTTACGGAATTTGCTCACAGACATCCCCGACCATTGCTGTTGAAGAAGATCGAGCTGACGTGATTCTTATCGCCTGCTGTGAATATTCCTAGAAAACAACCATATTAACCGTAAGCAGAGATACGTCACTGCCGTAAGTAAGCAAAAAAATGGCTTCTTGTATCTTCAAAGTTTATTGTAACTGCGTGACTTGATTTACAGAGTATTTGGTGTATGGCGGCTTATGAATCCTTCTCGACATGACGTAAGCGTACACTTATAAACAAACAAAACTTACAAACAGAACATCAATTTTGTTTTAATCCTTGTCGTTGTGGCAAGATCGTCTTAATATATAACATCATTTTACCTCATTAGAAGTAACAAAATTGGACTGTTCGTCCCACGCGCATACCCGCCGATATGACACTTTTTCAGGTTTTTCACACCCACCGCCATGACACTTTCTAAAGTTTTTGTAGATAAAAAGTTTGCGCTTCGTAGGCAAGGTACAGTTGGTGCTCATGATTTATGAAAAATATATTTTTAATACTGTACTGATCATGATGTTGACTTTGTTATAACTTATATTTTTTGTCTTTTAGTTTTATTTGATGAAGGTTGATTGTGCTGATTTCTCTAGGTTTGTTAATGTGTATCAAAGTTCCTTGAAATGAAAATATTCCTTCAAACAAAGCGCGTATAAAAAAATTCATGTCTATGATTATCAATTACCTTGAACGAAATATTTCCATAACATATGTATTCATTTTGCGTATCATGGTGACATTATCTAATACATTTGAGATCAGAAATAGTAGTAGCTATAGTGAAAATATTGTAAATTTTGTATATATACGGAAGTGTAGTTTAATCTCATAGAACTATGTCTTTATAGATATAATTACTGGAATAAAAATCTAACCATGATACTTCAAGGAAGATAGGCATGTAAATACATTTAATGTAATTATTTACACTTTTATCTATCTGAAATGCTGTGTGCACTTTATCTACTTTCCTCAACTACAAATTTAATAATAATAAGAAAGGGCTATTACTTTGCAATACATTTAAAATCGAGAAGTAGGTATAAAGTCATTTCGATTTGTCTAAATCCTCATATTGATAGGATAGTAATTGCAACATCTTGGGGATTTCAAAGTTTTTATTTAGTCAACTTCATCACAGAGCTATTTATCATTTGGCTTGTTGGCGATGAATATATGGTTGTGTGTATTTTGCGATTTTATTTTTTTACCTATTTTGATTTGTTCACATTATTGTCGTCAAATTTGAAATAAGAATTAAAGAAGATATAAAATCGCTTAAAATTAAGGAAAATAGCCTCTGGTTCTTTTATTGTAATAATTTTTGCATTCCAAAGTGTAGGAGAATGGGGAAAGTAATATAGCTAAGCCGTTAATTGTGAATATATTTTTCAATACGTTTAGCCTCTCAGTACTTTCAGTACTTTGATTTATATTACTCGTTACATAGGACACATTACTATGAAAACTTTTCATTCGAGTTGCTTCCCTTCCACGGTATCATGAAACGTAGTCCAACGTTTTCACGACGTCGCCTAATCTTTATCGACAGTTCTACGATACGTTTTGCTCGTGCAGCTGCACTAACCTGCATGCAATCGGCCTCCAAACATATATCCTATTTATCAATTAACAAAAACACATCTCCACAAACATCGTACAGAAATTATTTTCTATGTTAACAAGCTAGTAGTAAGGTTGTACATATTCTGAACACCGTGACAAAGTACAATACGTTTTCCATATAATGAAGTATCGGAGCACGATACAGTATCGCTTCTCGGCCTTTTGGCAAAGTGTACCTGATACATTTGTCTTTGCTGCTTTGCCGTTCTCTTGCCTTTATAAGCATGAGTTATCGTCACGTTGACGTTGACGTACTCCGGAACACTGTCCGTTTCCAGGTTTCCGGCCCTAGAAGAAACAGTGTCACCAGATTTGAGATTGTCCGTGCTTTGCTGGACTGTGATGTTCCCGGGAGCGATATCAGGTCCGTTTTCCGGTGCGAGGCGCCGAATGCTTGGTTCGCCACGGTGTCGTCAATGGAACAGGTGGACGCTATTGTGGACAATGGCAACCTGGAGAGGGGACAGTTTTGTTTACGACCGGAGCGTTGCGACCAAAGACGGCTTACGATCCGTGTCCAGTGGCTGCCATCTTGGATATCGGACGAGGGCATCGCCAGTCATTTCGATGGCATTTATGGCAAAGTGGTGGCTATCGAAAGAGAGAAAGATGAGTTAAGTGGGGTGATGTTAGAGACTGGCACGAGGATAATATCAATGGTCATCCGTGAGGGTGACCAAGATGCCATTCCCTACAGGGACAGGATTTTTGGGAAGACAGCCCTGATAGTTGTTCCAGGGAGACCGCCGATTTGCCTGCGTTGTCAACAGGTAGGGCATGTAAGGGCCCAGTGTCCTGGAAGGCCTGTAGTGACAGCGAAACAATCATACGCAGCGAAGGTGACCTCAACGGTGTCCCCAGAAGAAACCGTGAGCCCCTCGCCCGGAGGGAGCGGTATGGAGACCGCGAGTCCCTCGCCCGGAGGGAGCGGCAAGGATTCCACAAGCCCCTCGACCGGAGGGAACGGTTGCGAAGGACCTCATCACACTGTAAAGCGCCCTGGAACTCAGATGGATCACGAGGGATTCCAGATGGCTAAGAAGGGGAAACACTCCGGTGCTTCCCCCGTCATTTTGACCAATGGGGACTTGGCCCCTGGTCAGAGGACCCCCGTTGGACCCCAGGAGGACGAGGCGATGTCCGATTCGTCGGAAGGTTTGCTCGTCATAGATGAGGAGGCCTGATGAGGGTGAGTGTATGATTTTCCGGTGATGAACTTTTTAAAAATCTTATTGACAATGGCGGCGGCACAACGATCCCTTTTCGACCTTATTTCGTCCATGGACTATGTTTTTCTAGCCTATATGGTGTTTTTTGTAATGGTTTACAGTTTAATTGCCCTTGATTTATATTTACTACCCTTTGTCAATGGTATTTCAGCCTTTTTAACTAGCCATATGGCTCATATCTTGTCATTCCGGTACAAATATTTATATCATGCATTGTTATCCTCACGCCACTTTTAATTTTTGTATTTACTATACGATCCTTACTATTCAAGATCGCCTGTTTTCTCTCTGTCATGCTTTGTTAGTATACGTCTGTCATTTTGTAGTGCAGAATGTCTCTAGTGTTTGTCTCAGTAATGTAAGCTTCTTTAGGTCATATTTGTTAGTTCTACAAGCGGGTGGTAACATAATTATTATGTTATCATGTTTCGCTGTGCCTACATATATGCATTATTCAAATATTGGAATGTTTTGGATTTTTTATTTCAGAATGTTCCATGATGATTTTTCTAAATTCATTCATTTTCCTTCCTTTTTTCACATTAAGCTAACACTACATTTACCTGTGCGGCGTTTACCTGTGCTGGTGTTCAGTGGTCTCGTTCTTGTTATAGCTCGCGGCTACGTGTACGCGCTCGTGCCTTCTTTTACCTGTGTTTTTGTCACATTCAGTGCCTCGCTATTTTCGGCCGTAAATACACTCACCTTTTTCCGAGTTGTGCTTACCTGTCCTGTTTTTATCGATGCGGTTGTTTTTCTCGCTCAGTCGTCCTTTCACTGTCACCCATTGGTTAGCGTTTTCTTCTTCCAATTATTGAATATCTGAAAATGAATAATAATACAATGAATATAATAACTTGGAACTGTAATGGGTTCTTATCAAAATCCAAACAGTATGAATTAAGTGATTTTGTACATAACAATAATATACACATTGTGCTGTTACAAGAAACTCATATATCTAACCTTACTGTAGGCATGCGTATTGAGAAATTTTTGAAATGTAAGGCCATTTGGAATTTTGGTACACTTAAAAGTAGAGGCACCGCTGTGTTGTTTTTTATTGATGTAAAAATAGAGAAATTTGATCTGGATAGGGACGGTAGGGCTATGTTTATTGATTTCAGATACCTCGATAGTGAATATAGAATTGTCAATGTGTATGCTCCTAACATTGAAGGGGAGCGGCGGATATTTTTTGATAGTATCGCAAATTTTTTTTCGTGCAGAAGGCCTGTGATATTTGCGGGTGATTTTAACTGTATCGAGCAGAGTGCTCTTGATAAGGTAGGTGGTAATCCAGACCGTGGACTTGCTGGGTGTAATTTGATACAAAATATTTGTCATGATTTTAAGTTGTTTGAAACCTTTCGATCAATGTTCCCTGATATACTTTCGACCACGTGGCGTGGCAATGGTGTTTCATGTCGTTTAGATCGTTTTTATATCTCTTGTTGTTTGAAACAATATTTACTAGAGAATAAGGTTTTTCCGTCTGGTTCCTCAGATCATGATTTTGTATTTTTAAAAATTAAATTATTTTCAGAAGCGAGGTTTGGTCCTTCTTATTGGAAATTGAATAATAGTGTGTTACAAGATAGGGCTTTTCAAATATCTTTTAAAGAATTTTGGCTTGATTTGGTCAAAGATACACCTGTATTGTTAGATAATTGGGATGACTGTAAAACTGTTGTTAAATTTTTCATCATTGAATATTGTAAGAAGAAGGCCAAGGTCAGGCGCAGTGTGTTAAAATCCTTACAGTGCAAGTTTAATAAATTACACGTCTTAGAGAAGCAGTCACCGGGTAATTTTTTGGACCAGATTAACTCTATTAAAAATCAAATTAATAATTTCCATCTTGATAGTTCCCGGGGATCTATGATAAGATCGAGAGCCAAGTTTTTAGATTTTTCAGAAAAATCATCAAGATTTTTTTTCAAAATGGAGGATGATCGAAGTAAGAAAAAAATTATAGAGAAAATTGATTTAAATGAGTCTTCCTCAGTTTCGGATAATAGTAGTATTTTAGCTGCGTTTAGGGATTTTTATTCTAAACTTTTTTCTGAGGAGGATACTGATTCTGTTTTAGCTAACTCTTTTTGTGAAGACCTTCCAAAATTAAATGAATTAGACCGTTTTTTGTGTGAGGGGCCAATTAGAAAAGAGGAAGTATTGTTTGCTCTAAAACACATGAAAAATAATAAATCTCCTGGTTGTGATGGACTTACGAAAGAGTTTTATTTTACATTTTTTAATATATTAGGAGATCAATTGGTTTCTCTGTATAATGAAATATTTGAACGAGGTGAATTATGTTATACTCAGAAAATGTCGTATATTTCTTTATTCTGTAAGGACCCCAGTAATTCAACCAATATGAAGAACTGGCGGCCTATATCACTGTTGAATATCGATTACAAGATATTGTCTAAAGTTATTACTAATAGGTTAAGTAAAGTAATTGGTAATATTGTTCATACTGATCAAACGTGTGCTATTAAGGACCGATCTATTTTTGAAAATTGTCATTTATTGCGTAATATTGCTGATTATGTTAATCAGAAAGATTTAAAATGTGCCTTTGTATCACTCGATCAAGAAAAAGCTTTTGACAGAGTAAATTATAGTTTTTTATTTAAAGTGCTCAAAGCTTATAATTTTGGTCCTGAATTTATTAAGTGGGTCAGTATTTTATATAATGATGTCATGTCTTCTGTTATTGTTAATGGGTTTATATCTGACCCCTTCCCCATCACTCGTGGCGTAAGGCAAGGCTGTAGTTTATCTCCCCTTTTGTACGTTTTGGTTTTGGAACCCTTTGCTAAAAAAGTTCGCGACGACCCTGAAATAATTGGTATGAAATTACCGGGTTCCTCCGACTCAGCTAAAATTTCCCTTTATGCGGATGATAGTACTTGTGTTTGCTGTACAGATTCTTCCATTAAAAAGTTATTTTATTGGTGCGATATTTATGGCAAGGCGTCAGGTTCAAAACTTAATTTGAGTAAAACCAAAGGCTTGTTTTTGGGAAAATGGAAATCACGCTCTGATCACCCCTTTGGTATAAGCTGGGTAGAAAAGTTGAAAATATGTGGTATTTGGTTGGGTTATAATATAACACCTGACGATATTTGGCAGCCAATATTTCGGAAATTCTCCAGGACCTTAGATTCATGGAAAGTTCGAAAATTATCACTGACACAAAAATCTTTAGTTACAAAGGTCCTGGCGTGCAGCAAGATTTGGTACACTGGTACTATTGTTATAATGCCTAGCCATTATTTAGATCTTTTTCAGAGAACTTTATTTCGATTTTTATGGCATTCTTCGTCAGAGCCACTTGCGCGCTCGACAGCATATGCAAACCCGACGAGTGGTGGTCTTTCTATTGTTAATATAAAGGCAAAGTTACATTCTCTTCATATGAAACATTGTCAACAATTTTTGTATGGTCACTCTGAGGCGAAATGGAAGGTATTCACCATGTATTGGTTGTCTTTACAACTACGAAAATTTCTTACTTTTGTAGATAATAATGCTCCTCATAGTGAGGGATGTCCTACTTTTTATTCATATGTTAATAAAGTTTTTCAGTACTTTGTTAAGGAATTTCCGGATTTTAATCTGGAGTCCTCAACTACAAAAGATTTTTACATAAAAGTGTTATCAAAAGATATAAAGGAACCTCGTATTGTGAAGGTGTTTCCGACAGTAGATTTTAAGCATGTATTTTTGAATGTTTCCAATGGGTTCTTGGATACCTATTCCCGTGATGTTGTCTTTAAAATTGTACATGAAATTTTGCCTGTTAATTTCCGGATGCATAGATTTGGCATTAATTTGTCAAAAAATTGTACTTTTTGTGATGGTTTTGAAACTATTCCACATTTATTTTTTGAATGTGCTCTTGTTCAGCCTTTGATCTGCATTGTTGGTTCATGGATAAAAAAGATTTCTAACGACAAAATTCCCTCTAATTTGGCTCTTTGGCGTTTTCATTCTCCTGTTAGCATAACCTTTAAGATGAAGTCACTCGTTCTTTACCTATTGTCAGAGTCCCTATCCTCCATTTGGTTTATCCGTTGTGCCAAGAAATTTGAAAAGAAAACTGTTACGTCGGATTCTCTTGTTTGTCATTTGTTAACTAAGATTGTAGTTCGTATTCAATCCGACTTTTCCCGTTTTTCTTTGGCACGATTTATTGAGTATTGGTGTACCACAGATATATTTTGTTCTATAAAGAATGAAGAACTTGTTGTCAATTTGCCATTATAGTCATTAATTATTATTCCTAACTATGATAAATTTTAAGGCATAAGATATTGTTTATATCAGGTATTGCAGTACATCCGGGAACGGCCCACTCCTCCCATTTGTGTACGCATCTAATTTCAATCCACCAAACAATCAAATACAAGTAATCATATTATTAACAATTGTACAAATATTATCATCTTAATGATAAATTTAAGGCATAAGATATTGTTTATATCAGGTAAATTTGTGTTATATGTTTTAATGGCATTTATAACTAACAATTGTACTGCTTAAGGCATAAGATATTGTAAACACTATGAAAATTTCACTTCCTGTAAAGCTAGTTTTTGGTGCGTAGACACGGATTCGAGACTGCCCAAATAGTAATCTCCAACACAAAGCTAAAATATTATCCTGAAAAAAATGAAACCCCACATTGTCCACTTAAACATGACAGGACCAATTTATATCAGGTAATTTGTGTTCATATGTCTAATGGCATTTATTAACAATTGTACTGCTGGATCAAATGTATTAAATCAGTATTGATGGCGTCATCAGGATATTTCCTATGACGTTTTTAATTTGTAATTATATGAATAAAATTTTATGAAACAAAAAAAAGTATCTGTTCTTATCAGCTTAATATCTGATACGTGCCCCACCGGGGTACTTCGATATTAAACTGATTTTTG